CATCATTGCCTATGTTTTCAGCAGAGAATTTCTCAAATGATGACACTGCCATGCATTATTATACTGGTTAAGAATCGTATACAAAATTTTTATTTGTTTTGACCACACTTGGTCCAGCAGCACATTTTTACGTAACATACATTTTCAAATTGATAGCGTGTCAGTTGAAAATCAGTTTTTTATTACTTTGATGAAATGGAGGCGTTATACAACAAACTTCGAACTGTCGAGATGTTTTTTTCAATAACTGAATCTAGTGTTAAGAATATTGTGTATACGTGGACTGTATTTATGTCCAAACAGTGGCGAGAGGTTAACACATGGCCATCTAGTAGTTTAGTCAGGTATTTTTTTCCATCTGACTTTAAATCAAAGATTCCTACAACTAGGATTATTATCAATGGCACAGAATGTCCCTTGAAAAAAAAAACAACAAAAGAGCTCAACAAGCAACTTTTTCTTCTTATAAAAACAGAAACACTATGAAAATACTTGTAGGTTCGACACCTGGTTGGGTAGTAAACTATGTCTCCAATGCATATGGTCGTTGTACCAGTAACCGTCAAATAGTTGAACGATGTAAAATAATTCAATTGTGTGATCCAGGTGACAGTGTGATGGCAGATAAGGGATTTAATGTGCAAGACTTGTTTGCTAGAATGGATGTTGCCGTTAATATTCCAACATTTTTTTAAAAGAGAAAAATAATAAGTGGGAAAACTCTTTTACGGGACAGAAAAGTCTCCAGTAAACGTGTGCATATTGAGCGAATTATTGGACTTGATAAAACACAAAATTCTGACAAATCCTATGAATGGAACTGAAACAAAACTTGCATCTGACATAACATTTAGTTGTTTTATGTTATGTAATTTTAGATCTTGTATTGTACCAAAGGATGCATAAAACGAAAGTGACACAATGAATTTTGTTCTGATATATATATTCACAATTACATGTACATGTATATTGTACTACATATAAAAATAAGGAGATGTTTTATGGTATCCAGTGAGTGTATCGAACTAGAGTGCATAAGAAATGGGTGCAAGTAGTTACAGGCAACTGTACAGCCTCCAACAATGAGAAAAACCCATACCGTGTAAAGAATTTCAAAGATCTTGTGACTAGTTTTTGTTTTTGGGTTGAATCATTTTCTTCTAAAATGTATGATATTGTCTTAAAAATATGGAGATGTGGTTAAAATGCCAATGAGACAACTATTATGACAGTGACCAACCAACGAGATGTAATTTTTTTCTTAATTAAGAACTCCTTTGTTCATTCATAAATATTAATTCATAATATGGTCTGTAAAACATTTTTTCAAGTAATGCTGGCTTAAAATACTCATTAAAGAACGTTGTAAGTTTGATAATCATTTCTGAAATAAATTTGTCATCTCTGCAAACTTGCACATATTTTATGTCATTGACTTTTAATTTCTCAGCATGACAGACAACAAGTGTGCATTCTACCATGTTCTAATGGTGCAGTTTTTATGTCTGTCACTACCATCAAGGATTTGGCCAACTTGAACAAATCTGTTCGTTCAGTTGCTTTTCTGTTCGTTCAGTTGCTTTACAGATCCTACCAAACTTTGAAGAAGGAAGTCGCCTTGTTCTTTCTACTTTCCAAGTTATGTTATTTGCTTGACCCCTTGTTCTCTCTTCAATTGCACAATTTTTTTTCTTTCGTTATACTTTAAACCGAATTTTTTTCTAAAAAAATATCTTCTGGCGTTAATTTAAGATAATCATGGTCATGCGCTACTGCAAATGTATTAGTAGGCTGAAATGTTTGAAAAATAGGCTTTTCAGAAATTCCTGGAAAGTTAAGGCAAGTATTCCTGAAAAAATCCTGGTACGCTGGGACATTCCTAAGATATTCAGGTCTAGGATCAAAGTCCATATTTATAAATTCATCAGCACCTGGCATATCCAAATTTGAGATTTTAAGGGACTACCTAAAATCTTTTGGCATTTATGAAAAATCTGAAGTTTTTGTGTGCAAGTTTCTTCAACTTTGACTGTTTTATACTCCGTGAACACAATGGCGCCATACATAACCGTGCAAACATGTTTACAATGGGCATTAGGTCCTTCACCAGCGGGACATTCACACTGAGCTTCAATGATGGTACCTGCCTTGTCTAAAAGAATGTCAATTTCATTGGATATGGTTTTCTTATATTGTGCATGGCAACTGGATGAAATATATGTATTGTCACAGTCAAATGAGAGTCGAAAGTAACGAATAGTCCTTTCATTATAAAACCGTTAAATATGTTCATCAGGCTGTTTGTCATACAAAGCTAAATAATCATTAAGTATTTCCTTTTGTTTGTTCTATTAAATTTAGTATCAGAATTGACATCAAAGTATGTGGAAGGATCAGGTAAGGTCATCTTGTATTCAGGTTCTAACTGTTGTCAGTCCAAAGTTTTAATTCTTGTCATATGCCACCAGCCTAAAAAAAATAGAGAAAGAAAATTAATAAGATGAAAAAAATCAAATATCCACTTAAGTAATACTATTTTCTTGATTTCTTGTTTAATAATAATAAAAAAAAAAAAATCCACTTCGTAAATAGTCTTAACATCAACCTTTATCAAAATTATCTAAATTGTATGGCAATATCCTTTTTATTTTTTAATTGAATTTTATTCATTTGACATTGGGAACTTTTGTAATTTTCTGACAAGCAGTTCATCCTCGAGAGTTCATCTTGGCATGAAATAGTTAATAACACTACGATAATCTGACACCATAGACATATGTCTCTGCTGACACTTATATCATCCCAAAATTACACAGTCAGACTACCAAACCGGCACACACAAATAATTAATAATGCTTTGTAATACAAGCAATTTTTATCATTAATATGAAAGGCAAAATAAAGCAAGTACATCATGTACATGGTTGTTTAAAAACGGGTTAGTTGACAATCAACGTGCAAAAATGATAACCCCTCTTATTAACTTTACGGGTGCACACAACTTGATAGTCTCGAATCGTTCATGAACATTATTTTTTTTTCAGTATGCTTTGAATTTTTATTAAGTAATAAATATTGTAAAAATTAAGTCTTTTTCCCCCAACGTCATAATAACCATCGTGTTCACGTCGGCATGATTTTCCAACTTCCAAAAACTATGAGAGACCGAGAACGAAAACGATGTCATCACATCATTTATTGACAACATTTGTTTTTTTTTAACTCTTTACTTATATATTTAATAGAACCATAGACATTTTAAACATAACAAGACCGTTATTATGATGAGAATTATCTGTAAATAAACTTTATTTACAATTTCTGCCTTCATAAAAAGTTCATTGTTTACGACCGGCGTCCGAAGTAAGATACGCATATATTTTACTTTTATTACAAAATTAGATTGAACACATTACAAACCTTTCAATTAATTCTTTCTTTCGTCCTGAAATTCTAGCATTTCTTTTTTTCAATTCTTCTTTTAAAGCAGTAAAACTTGCGTATTTTTCGTAGATGGATTCCATAGCGTTAACACGTGCATCAATTTGTAAAACAAATAGATGCTGGACCGGGAACAGCGGTGCCATCTTGTAATTATCAGGAAGAGATAGTTCATTATTGTTTGCCATTGTCATTTTGCTTAGTTTCTTCTGTTACCTATTCTTATATCGGACTGAGACTTCTTTTAAATGAGTATACTGTGCGCATTGCTGTGTGTTTGTTTATTCTACATTGGCTAAAGGTATAGGGGAGGGTTGAGATCTCATAAAACATGTTTAACCTCTCCGCATGTTTGCGCCTGTCCCAATTCATGGTGGATTAAACCTGGTTTTATAGTTAGCTAAACCTCTCACTTACTTGAGAGTCGCGTAAAATTCCATTATATAGACAACAATGTCCGAGCAAAATATACAGACATAATAGGTAAAAATGTCGAAATTGGGGTACAGCAATCAACATATTGTTATAATCGTAATCACTATAAAACAAACAACTGAGTGAACAAAAAAACAAAACAAAAATGGCATGTAGATACTCTTTAGACAAGGCACATAAGCAAAGATGAAAGACAAAAATACAAAAAATTACCATAGCACAATAACACAATGGCGGAATGCATAAATACCGAGCCATGCCAAAAGGATATTACCAAAACTGTACTAAACAGTAAAGAATAAAAAAACATAAAGACAATTCAAAAGAATACTATAACACGTAATTAAGATGATAAACAACGTCATTACCTAGAATCTATGCTTCAAGACCAGGATGTACTATTTGTGAAGTTGATACAGAGTATTTATGAACAAGGTCTTGGTATCTTTCGATGATATTTTTAGATAAAGGACGAGATGCTTTTTCTTTACATAAATCTGGTTCATCAACTTTCTACTCAGACACTAGTGACGTTTTCTTAAAGTATAGTATGAGTAGCAGTTGCAAGCTCTTTAATAGCGAATGAGTTGGGAAATGTAAATCTCAAATGGAAGAGTTGAGCGCTAACAAACATGGTTAACCTCGAAACATCCTTAATGTGCCTGTCTCAAGTCAGGAGCCTGTTATTGCGAGGGCGACGTTTGTTGGTCTATTTTGGTTTAATGGTTTAGTTATAAAAAAGTCCATTTATTTTCTATTTTTTTTAACTCTTTGTCATTTTGGGACAGTTATTATCTGACAATACAGTATACGTTTTATTCATTTTTGAAGGCGGTACGGTCACCGAAAGTTGTTTTCAAGAACGTCATTTCGATTCCGGAGGATAATTGTCTCATTGGCAATCATTCGACATCTCCTTGTTTATATAAGTATTGTTCAATCTATTGTTTTCGATTTAGTGTTTTGTTATTTTTTCCGTCTTTTTGTTTTAGTCATATCTGTCTTTAATGCACCTCGAGCTCTGTTTTTCTATTGCTGTCTTGATATTATCTCTCATTCATTGTTTCTATCTTAAGTGAACACTTATCGTGTAATTACTACTAATAAACAAAAACGGATATAAACCATGTAACATATTGCGCAAAAATATATATTGTATATAGAAATTTTATCTCCAGCTGTAAGGTTATCAACATGTTAATAAAACGCATTAAGGTTGTAAAATATTTATACAAAATTCTGGTTATTATACAAATTATTTATTCTTATTGACAATTTCCGTCCATTCACATTCTTTATCACGGTTCAACAGCTCTACCATTTTATCATGTTCACCTCCTTGTACTATTTCAAATGGAGTCTTTCCATCTTTATTTCTTTTATGTTTATCGGCTTTTCTATCCAGTAATAATTGAACTATTTGTTTGTTTCCTTTTAGACATGCGGCATGAAGCGGAGAATTCCCCTTTTCTTCGCAAAGTTTTACATCTGCATCCTTTTTTAATAAAAGTTTAACAATGTCGGAACTGTCATTGATACATGAAATGTATAACGGCGACTCTTTTTTTCTGTTAACCGCATTAATATTTGCATTTTGTTCTATTAAAAATCTTACAATACGTTCATGTTTTTCTCTGCACGCAACATGAAGTGGAGTAAACTCAAATTTATCGGCTGTGTTGATATTTGCACCACTTAGTTGCAATAATTCACATATTTCTAAATGGTCTTCACTACAACTTATTAAAAACGGCGTAAATCCTTGTTTAGTAGCTATGTTCACCTCAGCTTTTTTGTCTATAAGCATTTCAACAATTTTATTTTCACCTTTAAAACAAGCGATGTACAATGGCGAGGAGCCATCACCAGACTGAGCATTTACATTTGCAGATTTATCTAGTAATCGTCCTACTATATATTCATTTCTAATTTGACATGCTTTATAAAGAGGTGAAATATTTATTTTGCTTCTTTGATTTACATTTGCCTTGCCTTTTAAAAGGATGTCAACTATGTTTTGATGATTGTTTTCACAAGCTATAAAAAGAGGTGTTCTGCCATAAGCATCAGATTCATTTATCATATCTTTATATTGAAGAAGAAGTTCAACAATTTTTAAATGACCACTTTGACATGCTATATGAATCGCTTTTAGTCCATATATATCTAAATTGTCAGCGGCAGATTTTTTAGTCAATAGGAAATTTACTATATCACTGTGTCCATTTTTGCAAGCTCTTTGCAACGCTGTTCTTTTCGTCTTTTTATCTTGCCTATCAATGTTTGCACCGTACTTTAGAAGTAAACGTACTGTAGACGAATGACCATTATTTGAAGCAGCATCGAAAGGGGTCAAGTCGTCATTATTTGTAATATCAAATGAAGATTTGTCGATCGCAAGAAGTGTAAGCGCGACTTTGTCATGGCCCCCACAACAAGCCATGTACAGTGGCGTTCTTTTGTTTTTGTCTTGATGAATTAGCTGGTCTTTTCTTAATTGCATAAATGCATGTGCTAAATCATCAAAGCCGTGTTCTGATACACTATGAAGAGGTGTAGAATTATTTTTATCGCCAGTTAAATCTTCAGCTTTTAGACGTTTAAGAAATGTTAGCAGTTTTGATCTAAATCGTGAATACTTCATCTGTATACCAGTAAACACATGGCTATGATATCCTTCTCTTATATCCATAAGTAGTCTTTGGAAATATAATTCTTCCTGTTCCCGTTCCACCATGATTACCAATTCGTCATGTTTTTCTTGTATAGAAACTAGCTGCAATCGATTGGCCACAAACACACTACTTCCATATTTAATTAAACAATGAATGATACTGCTCCCTACTATAAACGCAAGGTTTTCGAATAGCGTATCGTGAATACAAGAAAATCCGTCCTCCGTTTCGTTTATGTATGTTCCAATCAAGTCGCATAAGGATGATAGAAGAACCGAAGTCGATGGGAAGTATTTAAATCCACATTCATTGTACAGATCATTTAACAACTCTTTACTTGTAAGATTCTCAAGGCTTAACGTTTGCCTACCAATATAGTTATTTCGCACTACAAGTAAAGCAATTGCAAGAAAACCTATATCAGATTTTTCCTTCGTGTTAATCATTTCTTCTGCAAGGACTTTTTTTGGATTTAAAAAAGCCAAAGCTGAATCCTCTTGTCTTGAGTAAACAACACATAACAAAGGCAAGAACTCATACATCATGATAGTATCGTCATTTAACTTTGGTATGTTATACCTGTGGCAGATTTTTGTTCTTTCAACTAAAGACAATTTCAAACCATGTGATAGCAAATCACAGTGTATTGGCGAGATTTGTAATTTGCGACAAAACCCAGAATTGTAAATGTACGATCTGCACGTTAGTATAAGTTTCGTATTCTTACATTCTGTAAATGTTTGTTTGATAAAAGTTTCTTCATTTTTCCATCGCTGAATACGTGAGTCATCAACAGTATATTTGCCTACGGGATCATCAATTACGAATACCTGTTTTGTTTCAGGCAGTAAGAACTTTCGGATTTCTTCTGGTGACGAGACAGGTAAAATATTAAATTCCGCATCCTTTTCTAATATAAAAGCTGTGTTATATGCTATGGCAGATTTACCGGATCCAGGGGGACCTGATAATATTACAAATCCATGGGTTTTCATTTTAGCCGAAACTGTTTTTGACGCAGTAGTTTCTTCAAAGAGCACATGTCTTTCTCTCCATTTCATTATTTCCTTTTTTTGTAAATCTGGAAAAGTGAAAATGCAAGACAAACGTCATTTCGATCAAAATTTTAAGCACACCAATAGGCAGGTTGAGTGCTAATTGTTTTCCATGCGAGTGAAATTTGACATATAATCATGGATTAAATATCATCCGAAATGTATACGTATACACTGACAATGTTTCGCGTATGTTAACAACTTTCAACATTTGAATTTAAAAAGAATTTGTTTCACAATAATTGGTAAGTTAATAAAATATTTCGTATAAAGATTTCAATTGAAATATTAACTCTTTCCATAATAGGTAAAATGTTCTGAATCACTGTCACAACCAAGAAGTCGATTTACGAGTTTAATTAATAAAATGTAGATCCTCCTCCCTTAGAAAAAGAAAACAAGTTGTAATACTATCATTAATGGTTTTTTTTTTTGGAAAAATTGCCTCCATTTCAATTATCTAGCTAAATATCATAATTATTTTTGTTATCTAGATATTTTCTCATTATTTTATATCTCAGAATACAATTATACGAAGAATAGTATTGCTCTTTTTGAATTATTCTTTTTCTGGCAGGAAATTGCTTTGACGCTACAACGCAGCCTCATCAAGCTGTACACCAAATACGAAATCATTCCGTTGCATAGAAGCCAAACAAAACTCTGCTAAACATTTTCTGCCAAGGTCTTTCAGACAAGAGGACAGAATGAAGGACAAGTAGCGCTTATTAAAACTGCTTACTACGTTGGTAATTCAGGTACAAACGGTTGTTAGGCATACTTATCTAAAGCTCATTGAATCAAAAAAAATCTCTAATTTACTCATGTTCAATAGACCAAGTCAGGTTTTTGATACGAGTCTTTTTGAACATTTAAATAAAATAACACAAAGAGGATACAATAATAGTCATAGATAAAAAAAAAAAAGTCAAAGGAAAATTCGAAAATCTAAAAAATAATTCATTAAAGATCTACCACATAACAGCATACGGATGTTTATCACTCACACATTGGTCTGTCGGACATTAGTATTTATATTTTCAAATTTTGTCTTCAGATTTGCTTTGGGGCTTCAAATTTCTTACAATTATTGCAAAACAACAAACACTATCAAAATTATCTTCATTCATTTTTAGACTTTGCCATTAATATTTGATAAGAGCAACTGCTTAAACAAAATGATATTTTGCTGAACTGTAAAATGTATTTTACTGATCATATTTATGTGAAAAACGCACTAATGAATATAAATATAGTTAAGTCATACCTGGCATAAAAGCCAATAAAACGTTGACGAAATTGTTCAAGCAGGGTACATGTAGGCAGATCTAGTAAAAGTTATATATCACTGTCCACTTACAATAAACACATGAAGCAAGAAACAAATGAATTGTTATGGTGTATGATTAATCCAAGTCACTGTGTAAGTATATTCATAAAAGGGGGATGCTATGTTTTGTTCACTTGTTTAATAAAAAATGTTACCACGGTAAAACAAATTTTTTTAACAAATTTTTAGTAAATTTTCGGAATAATTGTTTTTTCTCTTTTGTCTGGAAATACAATTCTTATTCACAAATTGGAATAATTATAACCCCCCCCCCCCCCTTTTCCCCGTGAGGCTGTTCCTAATTTGGTAGCATAAAAGATATATAAATGTAAAAAATTAAGAACCGGAATAAAGATGGCACCAAATCGTAATGTACATTTACTACGAAAAATGGACACCGATAAGTCATAGGATGATGATACAGTATGAATCAACTAATTTATATATCTTTCTAATAATTCTTCGGACGAACTAGATAACATTTGCCGTTTTGTTTAAAGTGTTTTGAATTCTTATTGTCGCAATAAATTAACAAAACTTCACATTATTGGATTCGAATGTTAATTTGTACGTTTACGACGTTTTCTACTAGTTCAGTTTAAAAACAGAGGAAAGCATTAACCTTTAAACTTTAAAAACAATGAAATAAGTAGAAACCCAAAAGTAAAATTCCAATTGGACACAAAACATGATAGCTATCAAATGAGGTAAATGTTTTAGTAAACTGTAAATTCCATTCTAATCAGAGTTTATAATGACATACACAGGCTATTATTTTTATGCTTCGAATCACATGTAAGGAGTGTAAAATATTTTTTTGTTTAAAGCGTTTGCTCATATCACTGATACTTAGCACATGCGGTACGCTCATACGTAAATTAATTCTCTCCTTTATTATTTTTTTTTCTATAATTGAATTCATCGATTATAAGTATTTAATCATTAGCTGTTAGTGTCGTTATCCAACAAAATTTAAAATAAAATCATGTTCAATTGAATATTTGCTTATTATTATATTTTGATGAGTTATTGGATCATAAAATGTCATGATGTTCCCTCAAACGTTGTCAAATATGCAAAATTGACATAAAATATTATGTAAAAAATATTATATATAAAAAAAAAAAAATAAAACATTGAGGTACGTTGTAATCTTTATTAGGTAAACCTAATTGGTATTGCAATTGTCATTGTGTCACAAAGTCTAACAGAAAGATCAACGTAGGATATATATTGTAGCCCCCAAGGGTGACTGGGGAATAGAAATATGGTCATCATTGGTCTTCCTCCGACCGGCGGTAAAACCCTCGCTAAAGTGGGGCGTCCGTTTGGCTGTGCGGGATGTATAAGTTCGCAGTCACGTCCGGTCAGAATGGGGACGTTAAATCCGATGCCTCGTGTAAAGAGAGTGCCACGCTCTTTGCACGTTAAGAACCCTTGCAACAACTCTTTGAGGGGTCCGTAGGTGACCTGTTGCAAGGCTAAATTTCTGTCCCTATCCAATATACCCTCATTTCCCGTGGCAGTTTAAATTTCTCCGACCTCAGTCCCAGACGCCTCTATTACAGAACCTACCTATTGTATTTATTGTTAATTTGTTCTCGTCCTGAATATGCATGAAATATTTGCCACTGGACGTTAAGCAACCAACAATCAATATATATTGTAAGTTTAGACCTACTACAGCTTTGTATTTTGCAGTCTTTCATTCATTTTCAATACATCATCATATACCATTCATTAACAATGTTCTTTATAGTTATGCGACTTTGTTAGTTGAGTGTTGTCTTCGTTTGTGTTTTATTTTGAGAATCGGGTGCTGCTGTTGTTGTAGCGTCCTTTAATAAGAAGTATGTTTGAAGATTACTGTTATTTTTTGCTATTCCCTTGTATCAAAAGATTGATTGTTTGTTATCGATAATAACAAATGAATATATACATTTCATACCTAAAACATCATGCGGAATCATGCATGTTGTTTCATTTTTATTAAAGCCGTTCATTCCTGTCTGAAGATCCTTTTTCTGCTCAGGTTTAGAATGTATAGATTCTTCCACCCGCACGTGTCTTGATGTTGATGAAACACCTGTAAAAATAAACAGTCATTCAAAGTAAATATTGAGATATATATTTGAAATGTTTATGACGCGAAGAACACTAATAAACTATGGTTTAAGGGGCTATAAGGCAAGGAGAAGTCTTCCTTGATATAAGCGACAACATCTATTTTATCAAAAAACTAAATGTCGAAACCAAAAAACAATAACCCCTAAAACCATGAAAACCGAGGAAAACGTTAAGTTGGTCCTGGATCTCATTTGGGTTTATGTATAGCAGGCTGACTGTCTCGTTGATGCTAACTCATATGTAATGTTTCTGATCGTATTAAATAAACATCATGTGATACTGAAATGAGTTATTTTTTTATGTCATTTTTCTTTTAAAATTAACTCACCGAAGTTATTTCTATTTTTTCTCAGGCGATAAACTGAAAAAAAAAAACATTACATTCAAAACCACCTACAGGTAAAACATGTATATGTTCATTTCAGTTCTCGTACTATGAACAACAAAATTATTTATTTTGTAAAAAATATTTCCGTATTCCATTACTGTATACCTTACAATAAAATTATTTTTATTTACATGTGTACATTATTTCATTTGGCGGCATGTTGTCCAAGGTTATGGTTGTCTTTCTGATATCGTTTAACATCTCACCCCTTATTTTATTGATTTTGTATTTACATTGTGTTATAGATCAAATTTATTCGTTCTGTGTATGTTCACTTGTTTGTGTTAATGTCTTTTGATTGAGTTAAGCCATTTCAATTGATATTTTATAGTGTGTCTTCCTATGTTGTGATGTTACACTATTGTTTCAGGTAAGGGTGAAGGTTGGTACCTATTAAAACGTTAAAACCCGCTGCATTTGTTTGCACCTGTCCTAAGTCAGGAACCTGATGTTCAGTGGTTGTCGTTTGTTGATGTGGTTCATAAGTGTTTCTCGTTTTTTTATATATAGATTAGACCGTTTGTTTTCCTGGTTGAATGGTTTTACAGTAGTCATGTTGGGGCCCTTTATAGCTTGCTGTTCGGTGTGAGCCAAGGTTCCGTGTTGAAGACCGTACTTTGACCTATAATGGTTTACTTTTACAAATTGTGACTTGGATGGAGAGTTGTCTCATTGGCACTCATACCACATCTTCTTATATCTATATAGTAAATGTAAACAAGCATGTGTTTGGTTGCAAGCTATGTCTTTTCTGGTTTTCTGTTAAACTTTCACACTATGCAAGTTTAAAGGCCAGAGAATTTTAATGACCGATAGTTGATAAAAGGTATGTTTGGATTTTAGAAATATTTACCAATTCTACGTTTGGTGCTGAAAGACCTTACTATTAACATTTTGTTAAAACGAGTAGCCCGGCGGCTGGTGTTATTACATGAAGTGATTTTTTCCTGTCTTGAATTGCTCCATCATTTCATCGTGTATTGTTTTAAGGAATTTTGTTTGTTTTATTTAGTTTTTTTTACTTTTACCAAGGTGTTGACTATATATTCATAAGACTAATATGTATTGGTGTCAGCTCCTATGGCCTTTAATCTCTAAATATGCTATTATACTGATTCGCACGTTTGATATGATGAGTATTCTAAGAATTGGTCAGACGATACGACGGGCTTTAAATGTAGACAGGACAAAATGGAGTACCATATATAATATGCTTTGTGCCTGATTGCAATTTAATGTTTAATTAACCGTTTTTGGAATTCAATGCCACTTAGATATCGTTTATGAAACACCAAAAACAGTTCATATTTTTCGTAGACATCAGCTTTGAATATGAACTAGATAACGAAATAAAATGAATGTATAAAATATATTGTTATAACTTACCAAAAAACAATACAAGAACAACAGTAATGCAAACAAATGTAACTATAACAGCTGACCACGCAAAACCATCTGCAATTAAATCACACAATCATTTTATTCTTGATTTTTTTCTAAAGCTGTTTTCAATATGTCGTTAGTAATTGTGCATTAACCTTTCGCCTATTTAACCCCAAATCAATATACGTTAGTCCCTTTCCCAGGATTTCCATCTATGTAACATTATGATCAAGCAAAGGACACTCGTGTTTTCGGCCGGTACACATTTGCTTCGAACACACATACACCTGGAAGACAGTCGGACGAAAATATGGGTTTGCAAATCGATAGCTATATTCACCTGATAATTTTACCCGAAAGTGTAATAAACAACAATCGTTCAACTTGGCAATATTTATTTAGTATACAATGAAGATTTTTGCGTAAACTATACGTTGAGATTTGCTAGATAAAATCTCTACTGGTTTTCCTTTAGGATCTCGCAAAAGGCATTTTTCTTTTTGGTATAAGCGTGATTGTACATTAACATCTAAAATTGTCAGTTTATAATTTCAAATTATAATGAAAAAAATGTTTCAACTCCATAAGGCAAAGTTGACATTTTTAATTGTTTTAAAAAGGGGGAATGGTTGTCAACATTTGTTTTACTAATAGGGACATATATCAAAAACGTCCGAACGTGTCATATATGCTTTAAAGTATTGTCCTTTGAGTTAAGTCTTTTCCCCCAGGATTTAAAATGTCTTTACTTAGTAACTGAGGCAGTGCAGTGTTAGAAGAGATGACATACGTTATATACTTCAAATAAACAGTATCATACCAAATCTTCTTTTTTATAAGTATCACTTTATCATGAATGATCGAACAAAAGTAAATTCGACGCGGGTTATTCGCAATGACACAACAACCAATCAACAAATGAAACATAAAAGAATCTTAACGCCAAAATATTATGGTTTTCAACAGTAGATAGATGTGTAAAAATACAATGAGCCAAGCTCTGAGATCTATTTTTAAAAGGAGCATACAGTCATGCAAATTACATATCACTTGTTCATGCTGTTATAAATTATTTATTATTAAGTTACTTTTCAATAGAACGCCACGGACTTCTAAGTTAACTATAATCATGTACTGAATTTGGGTCATGAGAAATCAAAATGTTGATGTTAAAAGCGATGTAGAATATTGTGACAGGAATACATATTTCACAGATTAATTTAGTGAACATCGTCGGAAATTGACATTTTAATGTTCATACATTATCTTTCTCTACTAAATCTACTTTCTTACATCATGTACATGTACATAGCCATTGTGCAAATCTATAAAAAGAATATTTGTATATGGAATACATTGTATAATTAAAACAGTACTTATTTTAAATATGATAAAATATGTAAGAAATAGAAATTAAGAATAAATTCATTTCAATTCAATTGGCTGGATTTTTTTTCATATTCGAAGTGACAATACGTCGGGTTTCGGCCAATCATGATTCATCAGTGGTACTTGAATCTTGTCAGTTTGACGGCCAAATCGATTATTAAGACCTATGGATGACGCAATACAAATGAGTCGAAAGTGAAAGTGGGCAATACATATTTAATTTTAATTGCATAAGGATATTTTGGCCTGCACAAATTGATGGTTATTAGCTTTATCATGTATTGGTATGTTGTAATTAAAGTAACGGAAGTACACTTGACAAAAAGCTTCAGATTACATTTCATTGTCTACTTAAAGCGTTTTATCTACATGATAGCTTTATATGATTAGTATTACAATTTAAACAATTTTTATTGTTTTCAACATTACAGCACATGAACTCAAATGCAAATTTAATTTTTGATAGCAGTGATCAAATTTGGCTAGGGGGCTTGAGAGTTATACTTTGTTTTAATAAAATTATTTTACATTTAGTATAAGGCTTCAAACATATTTATAGAGACATGTATATACAATAGCATATATCGGATTTAACACATATAAACTTTATTTCTAGAAATCCAGAAATCATAAAATGATGGTTTAAAATATTTTACAGTTATCAAATCAAATGGAGATAATAATGTATCACCAAATAAATTGAACAAATTTTCCAAAACATTCATATCCTTCTCAACACAAAATATTTTAAATTTGTAAGTTACATCTACATAAACAATTGATAATATTAATATAGCTAGACATATATACATGTATGTTTCATTATTTTAAGGGCATATATTAGATAAACGAAATGTATCACTATCATTTTACGTCCTGTGCAGTTTCCTGTGGTTTCTTTTTTTTTTTGTCAGCTGACTTTTAGCTAAATTCTATTTTTAGGTGTACATTTCCTTCACATGTTTGATTTTTGAAATTACAATATGTATTGCTTGTATGCGAACCACATATAAGTACTTTTGAAAAAAAATAAAATAATATCACAATCATGCGTATGTCACTGGTTAATAAAAATCAAGTATGATGATAATGACTATATTTCGAAAATTTTAAATTATCAGCCGTCATTCCTAATTTGCTGTTGTAGCCCAGGGTTGGCTTTACATCAATTAAAAAACTTTTAAAAAGCATTTTATAGAGAATTAGATATATTATTGATGTTGTATTTGGTTGTTTGAAACAGTTGATATGTGACCAATATCTAATTTTCGCAAATATGCATGTATACCTGAACAGAATACAGATCATATTCTGTTGAATTTACCAATGAAAATTAGAAGATGTCGTTTGATCGCCAATGCGACAACTATTAACAAGTGAAAAAATGACGTAGAAGAAAGCACCTATAGGTCACCGTACGGCCTTGTATTCAGTTACTAAATACACTTAATCAGTACTGTGTAATGTATGTGTGATAAGTTTACTTATATTACCTGCCGGAGTCACATGTTCATCTGATGATATGATTGCTGTTTTCGTTACTTGATTGTCAGTTCTGAAATATATAATAAGCTACATCTTAATTATAACATTATTTTTGACATACAAAATTATATATGTCTAGTAGCTTCATGTAGCGCCCTGAGGTAGTTTTGATGTACAGGGTAATTTATATGCATATTTTAATTGATATATAACTTTTTTTGCTTTGTGTGATACACTCTCTTATGATAAAATTGGAACACATGAAATAAAAGGGGAGATGGTTTGCGAAAATAGCATAACCCTGTCTCATGTAAATGTACACGTCCAAGGTTACACAATTAAACAATTTGGAGGCCCACAATAAATGTATTGTCGTAAAAGACAGTGGTTGATTGCGAGTAAAAGGAAAAGTACTCGATCCTTGCACGCAATTAAATTTAGATATATTAAAGAAATCAAACAAACGGAATAACTTTAGTAAAATATTATATAAAACAAAAACTTATAGGGACACCATAAATTCAGCGTAGACTGATAAATAAGTATAAAGTAATAACTTACGAATATCTGTAAATTTCTGGACAGTTGTACTTCAATTTCGATTCTTTCAGGCATTCATAATCTAATTAGATACAAATAGAGATTTTTGGAATATCATACATCTAGTTGTTTTTTTTTCTTTTCTCGTAGTAAATAGTTTTACCATTAGTTCGTGTAATTCATCAGATATCAAAATAGCTGAACGAAAAACTCAAGACGACGTATATGTTATTATATCGGTTACCATGAAACTCAAAGATGTTTTATCATTATTTATCAAAATTGATTGTTTTCAATGCAGTATACATCAGATTCCATTTACACTTTTGGTTTGAATGTACTTGTTTTCAGTCATAATAATGATATTCATTTGCCATTTGTTCTGTTTGAATAGAATATCCAGATTGACTGTTCCCAATAAGGTATACACCAGATTCAACCCTAAAGATTTGTTGGAATTTACCTGTATTTAGTCATTATAATGATATTCAGTTGCCAATTGTTCTGTTTGAAAAGAATATGAAAGATATGGACATTGATATAGTATATTATACTCTTACGTTAAACATGAAAAAAGGAAATGTGGTAAGATTGTCAGTGATACAACTATCCATCTAATTCACAAGACGGGGATTTTAGCATTCAAAGATCACCGTACATCCTCCAAGTCAAATGAACTGTAAAGACAACGACTGGACAATATGTGAATTGATTCAAACAAACAAAAAACAAAGGTCTGGTTTATGATAAAACATTAAATCGAAAAACAAGTTATTTCAGACAACAACCAACCACGACCACTAAATTACAGGCTATTGAAATGGGACTGGCCCATGCAGAATGTGTCGGAAAAAACATGTCAATGATAATTCCCCATTCCTCTAACATGGGACAGTAATGTTTGTATGTAACAGTCTCTGTTTATCATATGGCAATGGCTTAACTCACCAGATTGAAACGAAGCTACAAAACATACTAACACAAAGACAAAAGACACAATACATATCTTGAGTGCATTTGTCATTTCAAATCCTTATGTGACGTATGAATGAATCGACAAACGAACGAACGTACGGACTTTCCAACTAATATAAATTGCTTTAATAAGCTGGGAAAGACAAACGTCTACCTCGATGATTTGAATTGCTGGTGTAATTTTGAATCAACATTATAAGAATAATTGTACTGCAAACACTGTACAATCATATATGTACGCACCCCTGTCAAAGATAAGTTGTATTCATATATCAATACCTTGTGTCAAACTATATCCGATTTGACAGGGCTTCACATAGCACGAACAATCCTCTTCGGAAGGTAGACAAAAACAACCATGTTTTGGTTTAAAAACAAAGTCATAGTTTTTCGTGTAGTCGCAGCGACACATTCTGTTTGTTTGTAGCGTTCCATTGCTGTGAATCACTTGTCCCTCTTGGTTACAATTTTCCTTCTTAAACACACATCTGCTACTACCATTAGTCCAGAATATAAATGGTTGGAATCTGTCTTCTGAACAAGGTTTTATTGTTGTTCCGCCTAGCAATATCTGTTTGTATCCTAAAATGAAAAAGTTTTTATCAGATGCCCGATTAATTAATTGTTATTCTCGAATGACTGTGGCCTTTTATTTATTTCTCCAGTCAAAATATACTTCTCGTATCACTCTGAACGGAGTAGAGTACGAATACGCAAAATGTATTTTGATTATATTTTCCAGTCATAATACGAAATTGCCAATTCAATTACCTTCCCTTCATTTTTTGTAAAACAACTTAACATGCCTTAGTCATGCCAAAATATTGTTGGTTTTCCCAAACCCTGCCAGTTCTGTTTTTACTCTACTGGGCATTTTTTGTAAGAGACGCAGATGTCATTATACAGTTACAAAAACTCATTGAGCGAGTATCTGACTGTGTGAAATTGTCATCGCTGGATATTTAAGTCATATGGTCATATGCATGCAGTTAAATTCATTTCAGCCTTTTTGGGAAAAGCTTGATTATTATCGTATACATAAGGCAGTACTAGGACAACAATTGAAAAAGAAATATAGAAATAAGAACATATTGTATGATTGCCAATGAGACGACTCTCCACTAGAGACCAAATGACAGAAGCTAACAACTATAAGTCACCGTACGGTCAAAACCCATATAGTATAGTAATCTGTAAAAGGCCTCGAAATGAAAAATGTTAAACAATTTAAAAGAGAAAACTAAAAGACCTTATTTATGTACAAAACATTAAACGAAAAATAAATATGATATATAGCAACAAACGAGAACCATCGAATTACAGGCTCCTGGCATCAGACAGACACACACATAATGTGGCGGGGTTAAACATGTTTGCTGGCGCCTTATTCTCCCCTTAACATGTGACAGTTGTGTAACAGTACAACATCAGAACAAACTATAAAAATCAGTTGAAAGGACTTAAGACCGATACAAAGCAAAAACAAAACCCTCACAAATACACAAAATTACAAGTCTGAGACAACTCAGTTACTGAACGTTAGTTCAAAGCCAATAAACAAATGTATCTAAGGCTGAAATATCAATCAGTACACATCAAACACTCAATGGATTTAGTGTACAGACGTCTTACTAAAAATATGATTTAAACCTGCAGAACTCGGGACTTAGATCTATAATGCTACAATCGTATAGAAAAACGATATCAAATTCTCAGGAGTTGTTAAACCTATTTCTCTTATGGTCAACACTCTTATTGTGTTGAATTAAAAATTCCGCTAATCGATGATCTAGTCGTTTGCACATACCAGTATTACGTCATATGTCATTTTAAGGCGTAAAACTTTAAAATTAGACATTTTAAAACTTTTGGTACGCTTCGGAGTGTAATAAAATTTGACAAAAAGAAGATATCCTGGTGAAAAGTGTAAGTGTTTTGTATATTATTGAAGAACTCACATATGTCCGTTGCCATGGACGAAATGAACATCGTCTTAACCTTTGAAAGTTACCAATGACCAATGACCTAACGAACAGCCAATGGAAATGTCGTATTATCGTCTCATGATGCTGGATAAGCCAATTTAAATAACACAGTTTTCGTCTCACTTTTTCGTATCACACTCCCACAACCATAATTTAAATACATTTATCATATACTTAAAGTAAATAACTTATAATAATTTTTACTGTATGAAAATAGCATGAAATTAACGTGAATTCCATATTTTCTGAAATGGTGTTTAGCGGGCTGATAGAAAAAAATTATCACATGCGTCCGGCTATTATCACATGTCTTTTTGTAACGTTATCGCATGGCATTCCAGTGCTACTCGGCAAATTCCGGAAAATATACCTCAATGGTTCTTTTTCAGTGAAAAACATAACAAAGTAGGATACAAAACAATTATTAGGAAACAGGAAAATATATTATGTAAAATGCAAAAAAAGAAAAAAAAAAAATGATACAAAAAATGCATTTTTTAAAGTTTCCAGCATAATTTAGAAAGTTACTTCCCAAATTTTGACCTTTCCAAACAGGTTCATTATGTTTTGTTGAATTTTTTTTATCGTCAATATAAATATATATTATACTGTTGTTTTTCTCCTCTGTTGATGCATATAATAGAAATATTACATAACGGATGTATTATTTTGGCGTCCGACGTCCGTAAACTTTTCACTATTTGAACTTCTACTTGAGAACCACTTTAAAGGATCAATATATAAAGCTGTTTTTTTTTTCAATTGTTGAGGCATATGATAAAAAGATCATAACATATCATTTTTCATATCAGATGTATTATCAGCCCTCGGTCAATATCAGCCCTCGAGACTTCGGCTCTTGGGCTGATAATATATCTGATATGAAAAATGCCATGTAATAATCTGTTAGTATACTATTCAACAAATGAGATATTTAGCAATAAAATAAATAAACACGTGTGCAAATTATGATGTTGGAAACAATCACTGTGTATGTTTCTAAACTCAATATTTGATTACTTCCTTATCAGTATTGATTATACATTATGGATAATACATGTACATGGGAAATTGTCACATTTTTTTTGTCAATACGCTTAGTATGAATGACCTGCTTAAAGTATTTTCTATTTTCGGCAGGATATGATAAACTAATGTATATGAATAATACAAACATATAAGTATCAATATCCTTGTACCTGATCACGAGGTGGACATATTTTCTAAAAATGAACTCCCCTAAATAACAAAACGAAATTTGAATGTTCTGTCATTTCCGCGAGCTCTTTAATGTTATAAATTTACATTAACAATAAATATGAATGACATATACATGTATGAACGACTTCAATATAGAATCTATGATCAACGTTATGATTTTAACTTTTCAATTTTTGTCCACTTCCAATTTCTCAGCAGGAACCATAATGAATGAAAACAAAACGTTACACATTTTATCCGTTTGAAGCGCTTTACTGTTATAGATTTACCTTCATATGGAACACCCAAATCCGAATACTTGAACTTCACGATGTACAAGAACCGAAATAGTTGAAGAGTTATATGACAAATAGGACCTACAAAAATAGCCAAAAACTGCTCGATCAGAATTATGAGAGAGAACGATTGAAATCCCGTTATATAAGTTAAACGGTCATCCCCGCAAATTTGTTGAACGATACGGTGCGTTTATGTCTAAACTCACTAACAACATGGTTTTTTTTTCTGTCTTGGATCACTGAGATGCCAATATAGTGTTTCATTTGTTATTAAACCGACGGTTTGTTTCCTATTCCTGATTCGTCACAATGACATTTTTTACTAAGCGGGGGTTTGTATGGCGGATGATGCCAATTTTTATGATTAACGAATATAAGATTTAGGGACAAGCAATTTGCCAAATAAATCCACGATCACAAAACATTAATACTCATTTTCTGTAACCACTTACACTTTTTCGGCACACATAGTCACCGATCTTTCTGAAAATTGGCTGATATGTCTATCCTATTAGCCTAGTCAGAAAAATAATGCCAGCCGATATATATATTGGTTGGTTACCATGGTAGCGGCGGAGAAAGTTGGGAATTTTGAGAAAAATACAATATTTTGTGTAGTGTTGTGAAATTATGCGGCTACATCTATTAAAAAGAAACACAAAAACAATTAATTTCAGCCTTGTTTTTATCAAAAATCAAAAAAAGTTATGGGGAATCTACCTAGAAACATCTGAAATTAATTTCTAAAAAATGGTCATTGTGCAATATTCCTCACAATACAAATTATCTCCCTTTGGCGGGTTACACTAATGACTGGACCAAACGAAAATGCTAATAACTTTTTTATTTCTTAAAAATGTTGTCAAATTTGAATTGCTATAAATTTAGTCCATTTAATACATAAATATAATAAAAAATATAGAAAACTTTCAAATCTTCATAAAACGTGACCTGACCAACGCTGACAATGACAGGACCAAATGAAAAAGCTCACTTCTTTTTTTATTTTTTAAAGGATTTATGTTAAATTTGAAATATAATAAAATTTGATCATTTAATATATAACTATAGGAAAAAATATAGAAAAAAATATTAAAAAATTCCGAAAAATTCCGAAAACGTGACCCTTCTAACGTTGACAATGACCTGACCAACAACAGCAATGACCTAACCGATGAAAATTTCTGTGTTATTTTATATCATTAAAAAAGGGGGAAAATATATGTTTTTGGGTAAAAAAAAACTTGACCTGACCAACGTTGACTGTGTCCTGATCGTTGTACTACCTAATACTTATTTATATCTTATAGGATTTGCTTAAAATTTATATAAAAAAAAACCATTAATATTGAATGGTAAAGTCTTTATCAAATAATAAAAAAACCCGGGAAAACAGTTTAGGGTACTGTGACGGGCACCAGGTTATTTAAACTTGTTATGGTATTGAGTAGTATATTGTATTTTACTGTGTTGTAAATTATGTTGTATATTACCGGTTATAATTTGACACGTTTGATCACAAATATAAAGTAACACACAAAAGGTGTGAAGTAGGCCAAAAATACATGTAAGTTGATAAATCCAATATAATTGTTTTTTAATATTTCATAACAGTAAATAATTATTTCCACGTACAACTTAAGGCATGCCCGAGCCTTGTGAAGGATATCTTGGTAGTTTTAAATATTTTCATAAAATAAATAAACATTTCGCGGACTACTTGAGGTATGCCCGAGCCCCTGCATGCACGATTTCTTGGTAGTTTAAAATATTTTAATAAAATATAAGTAAACATATTCAACGACTTAACTTGAGGTATGCCAAATGTTCTCGAAAGTCAATACATTTATCGTTTGCTAATATGTTTGAAAAGCATTTTATATTTTCTTATTTGATAAAATTAATGGTTCAATCTTAGTGTTTCTATAAATTTGATGCAAAGCCTATTACATATAAATAGGTATAAAGTCATTTTTCCTGGTCATGATAACGGTCAGAATATAGGACAGAAAGTCACAGACAAAACGTCAAGGACAAAAAGTCACATGTATTATATGTTATAAACATTGAGTCCTGTTTCAAAGTAAAATCTATTTTTTTTTTGTTAAAAGAAAAACAATATACTAATTTTGAGAAACATCTTTCTGTAATGGGCTTTCAGCATGTTCAGTGAAAATCAAATTATAGGTACATGTATATAATTCTTTTAAAGTTACCCTTTCACGGTAAAGAGTTATCATAATTTATGGTCAATATTTTTTAATTTGCTGCTAAAAATCCATAAAGATAATTGTTATTTTCTCAAATTTCAATAATCCAATGCCTAATACTAATGTTAAGATAGTGCTACCATAGGCGGATCCAGGTGCCCTGAGGGCCCGTCCCCTCCTTATTTATTGGAAATATTTGGTTGATTACATATGGAATCACTGAAGTATAAATGTAGCGGGCCATCACTTTAGGCAGTCAGTGGGACCCCTTATATGAAAATTGTCCAGATGGTATATTTCCCCCTACTGCTCGTTTTAAGACCCGCAACCACCATCTGACAGTTTTTCCGCGGGTCCTCGTAGGGAAACGAATCTTTTTGGAAAATCTCGAAAATTCCTCCCCCGCCAGAAAGGCAAACAAGAAATGTGTCGGATGGATAGCAGGGACCATCGGGTCAACGGCCGACAGTACCCGCCCTTGTTGGTTACGCCCTTTGTTTGCTAAAGAACCCTTGTGTTAATTCTTTTAGGGGGACCCAGGTTGACCTATTGAAATGTCTGTCCTTGTCCAATTGTTCCCGATTTCCAGTTATATTTCAAATTGTCCGCCTTCATCCCAGCCTACCCTTATTGCCGGACCTTTTTGAAATTGTCTATTTTTTTCAACTTCACCTCAAAAATGATCTTCATGTAGATACTAATCATCTAATAATACAATAACATTCAAAACGTATAGCTATACATGCTTTGCCATTTCAACATTGAGTTTAATAATGAATAAGAAAAATAAATAGCTCATAATATAGGTATTTTTTCCTTTATAGAAAGAAAGGTTAGATGGTCAATTATAATTTACTTAGAGGACCAACGTCTGACTCTTTTTGTTCTATTTTTTATTGTGTTGAAGTGTATCAAATTATTGCCTTTAAACAATTTTGGGTCAGTAGACTAGCAGTGGACCAACAATGTTCCTTTTAAATTTATTGATGTTGTTCTCTTCTGAAATATTCATGAGATATTTGACACTGGACACAAAGCAAAGCATAACTAATCGATCATTTCATTTTTACAAAATCTTAACCTCCCCCCCCCCCCCCCCCACCCCCCAACGATATTGATTATTTTCATTTGTGATAAGTATTTATTTCAGTGCCTCACACAAACAATTTTAAGCTTGAACTTTCTTGAACTGTCAATGTTCTGATTGTATCTTCTTAATCTTATGTATAAATAGTTAGGAGCTAGTAGCTAAAATTCCAAACTGTCAACACCAAGTGGCACTTTGATCTTTTAATCTTCACTACAGCACTTGCATACTAGTTGACAGTGAAGTTCTGTATGAACAAAAACCTGGCTGATTCTAGCTTGCTGTTCAATTAAGCTGAAGACTCACAAGATTTTCATGATATGCTATATTATTAAGAGTTATTATTCTAAAGCAAAAAAAATCGGGGAAAAAAGGGGGGATTACCCTAAAACTAGCCGGACGCCGGACGTTTGCGCTTTTTTACCTGTTACTTGAAAGGACATTTGCGACCCAAACACTATGGACATTATCGCTTTTTAACTATCAATTTACTTCTAATCTTAAGAAATATACCAAAAGTAATATAAAGATGTTCAAATATTATTTGAAATTTCTTCCGAACAAACGCAAAATCAGAAGGAAAAAAAAAATCGGGTAAAAAAGACATAATATATATAGTTTAAATTATAGTATATGTTTTTGATTATACGATAGAGAAAAAGAAACTTTTATGGGCGGGATATTGAAAGTATGCCTAAATTCGTCAAGTAGCTTTATAATTCGTGGAATTAAAATTGAAAAAAAACTATTCCTCTTGTGTTCCTTCTGTTCCACGAAAAGTCTAAGAAATTGTAGGATTAGAGTTTATCTGATATAAGAAAAAGAGAAGATGTGGTACGATTGCCAATGAGACAACTCTGCACCACAGGCCAAATGACAAAGAAATTAACAACTATAGGTTACCGAACGGCCTTTAACAAGAAGTAAAACCCTAAAAATTTGTAAAAACCGAAATTGATTGTTAAACCATCTGCTGTAAATGATGACTTTTTAAAATAGTAAGGAATTTATTTCCATCAACCCTCTTGAAGTGTTGTTGTTTTCATCTGACATGACATTCCCATGATGGGGAAAGATTGATTTTTTTAGCTATTTATAAATATATGAATATTTTGTGTTTTTATATGTCTTTTCTTTAATTGATTTTTTTTTTAACTTTTTACCATGATAAGTCATTGCTATATTGAAAAAGCGCAAACGTTTACCTGGAAACATATAAATTATACTATATCTTTTCTGATAAAGCGCAAATTTTCTACTTTAAAAGACGCACATGTCCTATTTTAAAAAGCGCAAATGTCTATTAAAAAAGCACAAACGGCCTATCAAAAAGCACAAACATCCAGCGCTGAACTAGCCAAACTTATAAACCTACCCTAAATTAAAAATGTTCTTTTTTATACTTGAAACAAATGAATACCCGAGGAAAGCTACAAAAAGGAATGATGTGGTCTATAAAAAAGAGGCAATATTGATAAATTAGTGGATACTTGCTTTTATCGTGTCAAAATGAATATTCCAAAAAAATTTGTCACTGTATTTTTAGTCAACATAATTCGATTGACATATTTAATTCATGAAAAGTACAGTCAAGTTTAATCCCTGACATTGGTCATCGTCCTTTAATGCTACAAATCATATATAGCCAAGCCTAGGCTTACTCATTAACTTATTTGATTCACTCAAATCTATGCTTTTCGTGAATAATAAACGTTAAATCGTTAAAGGCGTGCTATACTGTAGATTCATTTATTTTCGTGGGTACCAATTTTCGTGGATTAAGGAAAACTTACATGTTCGTTGATATTTAATTTCGTGGTTTTGACGAATTCTACATACAAGCCTATAAGAAATGTGTCATTCGTGGAACATTTAATTTCGTTGTTCTCCTGTACCCACCCACGAAATCCATGAAAATTGGTACCCAACGAATAATAATAATGTAAGTATATATAACATGAAATGGAATAAAAACATGATTTGAGACATAATTTATTTAAATCTAAAATTGAGAATGGAAATGGGAAATAAGAGACAACAACTCGACCAAAGAGCGAACAACAGCCGATGCCACCATTAGGTCTTCAATACAACGAGGAAATCAAATCCCGCATACGAAGGCGTTATTCTGCTGGCCCCTAAACAAAAATGTATACTAGTTCAGTGATAATGGACGTCATACTCAACTCCGAAATATATAAAAGAAACTAAAATTAAAAACTAATAAAACTAGTTTGTATATACATGTAATACAATAAAATTCTAGAACTTCGCGTTCATGTATTAGTATTTATCCTGCAATCCGCCAACTATTGTACAAATAACAGGTACACAAATAAATTTTTGCTTTATTTGTACTTGTACAAATAAAGTCTCCTGTTACCCCGCTTCAATGTTGAGCAAGCGGTAATGTGGATATTTCTTTTTGCGTAACAGTTCATTTTGGGGTCCTCTTCGCGGTCCGCGTTTAAACTATGTCGATTTCTTTGAAAAATAGTGACAATGATTTAGATTTTAACAACTAAAGTTTCAAGTGTCGGGTGTAAATTTCAGGATAAAAACAATATATGTACATTGTCGGAAAATGTCAAATTTATTTGTACTCGCTACGAAACAGGAGAAAAGCTCAGCGAGCCTCGCTTTTCGTCCTATTTCTAAAGCTCATACAAATAAATTTTATATTTTCCGACAATGTACATATATTGTATATGTACATGAAGTGTTATTTAACTAAGAATACTATCAAGATTTGTTACGTCACGAAATGCCCGTGCAAATCCGTTAATAAGCAACTTTAAAAGGAAAGAAATAATATGATTACAATTTTACGTCGCGGAAGATTCAAGTTTTATTTTACAAGGCGAGAAGAATACATCATTACTATTTAGCATACTGAGCAACACAAAAAAAAAACTGATCTAAAAAGAGAGCATGAGAGGCTGCATGTGCAAATATGAATGCATAAATGACACTGATAACCTTAGAACAGCGGAGGTGATGTAAGATACTTTCAAAAACCAGGTCCTAAGGTTTTTAATACCGTTCGAGTCTGCTTGATCTTTCTTTGGGTTTCGAATTTTAGTTTCTTTTATATATTTCGGAGTTTAGTATGGCGTCCATTATCACTGAACTATTACACATTTTAGTGGCCAGTTGAAGCACGCCTCCGGGTGTCGGATTTTCTCGCTGCATTGAAGACCCATTGGTGGCTTTCGGCTGTTTTCCGCTCTTTGACCAGGTTGTTGTCTCTTTGACACATTCCTCATTTCCATTCTCAATTTTATTACAGACCGTTTTATATCCTATTAAAAAGGATATCCAGGGTAAATGCTAGAAGATTCTCTGTGCGTTATAAGCAATGCTAGTAATAAAGTTATTTTTGGTTATGACGAGTCTTATTGGTTCTATAAAGACGTTGGTCTTAAACAGAGGGTTTCATTTAATCTCTTTAATCTTTTCTTCTATTTTTCAATATGCCTTTAAATTACAATCAGCTTATAAGGGATTAAAAAAGCATCCTTAAAGTGCTAGCCAGTTTACAAAATATCTGATTTACAAATTAACTGTAACATATTTACCACATGTTGTACAACTAACAGGCAACTCAAGAATATAAATACCAGGATTTTCAAAATCGGGCCATGATCCACAGAATTCTTCATCCTTTTGTCCGTTTTCGTCCAAAAGACATATATACTTTTCTGTATCGTTACACATACTCTTTGCTCTGAATTTCCATTGCGAAGGCCCCGGACATTTGAACATGGTTTTGTTATCGGCAATAACCACAGTTACGATGACCATCTACAATACGAGAAAATAAACTGTCAATCTGTAATATTTAAACAAAGCCAAATCATTTTTTTGTGGAGAAATTGTATAAAATTATATATTATTATATCAAATACAATATTAAAAAAAAAATTTTTAAAGGGATGTGCTGGATTAACATGTAAATGTAAATATAATTTTATTGATGTCCTATATATATATATATATTCAAAGCAAGTTATGACATACAAAATACAAGATTTGATTCTGGAATTAAAACACAAAATTAAATCAAATGATAGACATCTAGGAATGTATTATATAATTATAAACTTGACAACTGGGTGAAATAAGATAAGTCATGACTCTTGGGAATTTTCAATTTCTTGATGCTTCTTTTCCCCTGAAATGTATTTGAATTAGACCTAATTATTCATAATAGCCCTGTACTTTCATAATTAGGCCCTATGTTTTTCATAATGGTCCTGTGTATTCATAATAGGCCTGTTTATTCATAATGGCCCTGTATTAATGCCCTGTTAGTCTGTAATGGGCCAATTTTGCTTTCATTAGTAAAGGGACAGTTTCACACATACATGTAATGCACTAAACTGGTTATTAAATAATCGTAATAATGCACGATTTTTGCAAACACTACAAATGCAATTATAAACTCATAGGCTACTAATTCAACTAACGAGCCATATGGGAGAGCTAATTTTCTATATTTTAAGATAGTACTTTTAACTATCTAAACCGGTGTTAGGTAAGTTTACATAATCATGAAACCTAATTATTGTTTGTATGAAAAGAAGCAAATACTGTATAATAGCCCTTGTGGCCATGACACTATGTGTACATGTAATGATTGTATGATTAAACAACAAACCTACAATAATGATCTTCATCATAACGACTTTAGATTTAAAGAACAATTTAAAAACCTTTTTTTCAGAAAAAAATATTTAAGTATAAACTATTTCTCATTGTTTTATTTTAGTTAAAACTATGCTGTTTAAAATCAAATTTGAGTACTTCCGCTAAACTTCCTTATTAAACCTCTGTAATTTATATATGATGTTCTATATCAACATGTATAACAAAAATAATGACAAGTTTCAACCAACTTATATACCCCTGTATACGTAGTATAGGCATACAAGTAATGACAAGATTAAGTTAACGTTCATTGGGATCAGTGATCTACATGTATATAAATACGCTATGGAATCTATATGCAGTCACTTCAAATAAGTCAATTATTCCGTAGACATTATTATCGTTTTGTTGTGCTATTTACATGTATACATCCACTTCAGTGTGCTTGTATTATTCAAGTATAATGAGAAATTAAAACATTTGTGAAAACGTGTACAAGCATATTTTTTTTTCACATGTACTTATTGTATAAAAATACTCCGTGTACACAAAATATACTTACTATTTCATTAGAGTTTGGAAAAGTACATGTATGACCGGTGATAAATGATATTTAGCCTGTCGATTCAAGTACATTTTGAAAATCTGTACTGAGTCTCGTTCATTTGGCTTGAAATGCGTCTCGTACGCGTTACTGAATGTCTTGAATGTACATTTTGTATTTTGATTAAAAACTTTAAAGTAAATAGTAGTTTTTTTTTACCAACTACATGTATTGTAAATATTTTAGATGCCGAAGTCTGTACCGAACTTTCATTGTTTTTAAACAAGAAGCGTATTTTTTTTATACATATACTTACAATTATCATATATTGATGAATAAAGTCGTCAAACTTAGGCGTTTTTCCATTTGGTCTCATCATATTTATACCACATACATTTAACAATGGAATACAGTATCTACTCGATTTTGACCTGTCATGAAAAGATAATATATCTTACCAAGTACATTGATATTAAATTATATACTGGAGGAATATAAAAACGCAACACACATTTGGTGTTTATTTTATTGTTTTACCAAATCATGATTGAACCACATATAACAACTGTTTATTCTTATCATACTTCTTTCTGTTTACAAAAAAATGCCATACCTGACTCACATGAAGTAATTGAACATACCGAATTATTGTGAAGTAGCATGCATTTCTTAAAGCGATATTTGAAACCCACAAATGATTTTTATTAGGTTTTGTCTTCGTGAAGCAATTCTTTAAATCCATACCCACGCATTATAAATCAGTAAAACATGTTGCATTAATTCTTTATTGCCGAGACAGAGCCATGAAAATCTGAATCTTGCTATAATAATATCGAAGTCGGGAAAACACGAACATGCAGATACTCCTCTTACTGTCCTTACATCAACGGTACAGGCAGATTGGATGTGTTGATGGTCACCCATGACCAGATCAATATGTTGTGACAACGCCACGTCAATAAAAATCTACTACGCAACGTCATTTGCAAGACATGCTTAAAGCCGCAACGTCAACTGCTAATCAAGTTGTCTTCATTATCCTATATAGATACTATAATCGTTTAAATTTCGTATGGGTACTTTAATAATTGTTCTAATTTTGACTTCTGACCTCTATAATCTAGTAAAACATATATACTACTCAACAGAAATTTAGCAACAAAATATCTGACTTACAATAAATCAAACAATATCTTTAGTTTTTTTCTTTGATGAATTCAACATCATTTATAACAGGAATGCATGCTGTAAATTACAGATGATTTTGAGCATTTACTACATAAAGATAAGCTCTTAAAGTTTGACCCCCATTAATCTCAATTGAAGTGTTTCAGAACGCTCTTTGTGTAAAGTTAAAGATAGATCATGCAATGAGTAAATAAACAGCTGTTCCTTGTGTAAACATATTCAAATAAAAAAAAAATGTTTACCATTCCATAAATCACAAAGACAAAGAATAGTAGATACTTTGATTTAAGTCATATGAAACAATTAAGTCTCTAGTTACTATAATGTTATGGAAATTCTTGAACCAATGCATGCATTTGCATGTAAATACTTAACAAAGTAATAATTGCAGGATTTTTACATTGATTACGACCCCTTAACGTAAAATCGACAACAAGATCTTATTTGGTGATTGTTGATCGCTTATTAAATTTTGGGGTTTTTATGCCGAAGAATGCTGATCGTGACCTAGATAAAGAATCAACACACTCGGAATCATGGATCACGTGTATAATAAGTCAGATGCTAGATTGATATTCATGTGCTTTCTTATATTGACCATGTGTTCTCATATGTTTATTAAACTTTATCGTACCTGTTGCAAAATGATTTGGGGTATTAGAGCTTTTCTTTCAGTATTTGTTAACACCATTTTCCTTCCAAGACCTTCCAAGTTTGTAAACTTTTTCTCTCCTCGCGGGTTTTCTCTTCGCATTAGCGTTTTGTAATGCTGAATGTTAATAAGAAAGGTCATGGTTAAGGTCACCGCAAACAGAAAAGTTGTCGGCGAATTAAAAAACGAGAAAACATCGATTCAAAAGCAATACATTTCTGAAGATTTTGATAAAATGAAAGATATTCTTTTCAAAGGGAGTATACATGTATGTACACGTGTTTTATAGTAAAAAAATTTTTTTTTCAGGGTATCAAATCTTTTAGGTGATCTTACTCACTTTTGGGGTGTTAATAATTATACTGAGGGCATCTGATTACCCTTCCGGAACACCCGAAATCACTCCCAGCTTAAGTGGGGTTCGTTTTGCTCAGTCTTTAGTTTTCTGTGTTGTGTTTTGTGTACTTTTGTTTGTCTGTTGGTATTTTATTTATGTCAATGGCGTTGTCGGTTTGTCTAGACGTACGAGTTTGAATGTTCCTTTGGTATCCTTCACCTCTCTTTGAAAACTCCTCCACAGACAAAATATGAATTGATAGAGAAGAATAATTGTTCACTTCCCCGACATAAAATGAAGACCTCATTTTTAAAGTTTTACTGTTAACTCATTGCTGTCGTTAGCATATGACAGTTGCAATCGGCTGTCGGCTATGCCAAACTTGTGATGGGCTAAGCAGTTGATATTCATATTCAAGCGAGTTTCAACAACTTTCAGACTTGAACTCGTTTATTGATACAAATACAGGAAATATTTGGCATTCTTCTTTCAAGCGAAAACATAAGAAGACTAAGGTTTCAAACAAATGGAATGCGTTGGATTTTCAACTATAAATCATCCCTTCTCTTCAATCTAACTTATGTCATCGGAAATTTTAATGGTACTGTGGCTGACGATAAAGTTTAGTAAATTTATCAACCTTTTTCGTTTTTTTTTTTTTAACAGAACAAACAACCTTATTTCAACAGTAAAAAGTCGCATTAAACAAAGCCTGAATGTTTTCGTCAGAGAGAGAGAGAGAGAGAGAGAGAGAGAGAGAGAGAGAGAGAGAGAGAGAGAGAGAGAGAGGTGGTAGATATGCACGTTAGTTCGTGCGTCCCATATCATTTTAAAGTTGGTTAAAGCAAAGTTCATTATCTTAAAATGAAATGTGCATATATGTGTATGCCAAATTAGTGTCTCATGGTCAATTGGACACGGAACGGAAATGTGAAAATGAGCTAGCGGGGAGAAGTGTCCTATGTACACATATTATTGTTTAATCATAACAGGATAAACAGAATTATGTTGACATAAAAAAACACCTCACAAACAGAATGACACAATATACGATTTGAATCACTTGTTAGCAATCAGGAGATTTAAATATGGTAAATATGTTAAAGATATTTGCATTTCACGGTCTATAAGTGATTGGAATTTAAAAAAAATATATAGCAACCCCATTTCAAGGCTTTTACTTATTTCGGGGCATTTAAACCTTTACTTCAGATTTATACCGTTTCGTATTATTATATTATAGTAGTTAAAAGTTGTACCTGTTATTGTTTACTATAAACGTTGACTTCCTATTAATGAATCTATGCTATATCACCATATAACACCACATTGATGCCTGATCTAAATGTGTGGAATCCTTACCATACCATCATTTGAAGAAAAATCAAAAGTATTAATGGCGATGTAGGGCATTTGTCTAAGAAACAACAAAGAAAAGATACAAGAACAAAGCAATATCCATAAAAAAAAGAAGACACAGTCCAACTACTTCAACATATGCAATATGTATATAGATATAAGAAGATGTGGTATGAGTGCCAATGAGACAACTCTCCATCCAAGTCAAAATTTATAAAAGTAAACCATTATAGGTCAAAGTACGGTCTTCAACACGGAGCCTTGGCTCACACCGAGCAGTAAGCTATAAAGGGCCCCAAAAATTACTAGTGTAAAACCATTCAAACGGGAAAACCAACGGTCTAATCTATGTAAACAAAAAATGTATACATTTGTAAGTATGTTTATTCATGAATTATAAGTAAGATATAGCACCACAATGTTAAAATGAAGATAATAAAATTATATAAATTAATGCTTTTGAATAATCGTTTCGTAGCATGCAAAGAAATCGAATCCAGATGTTAAAAATTAAGATACTTTGTACTTACGACACATTTGAACATCTGCATTCAAATTTGTTTGAAACATGACACTTTAAAACATCGTGTATGACCGTAATTGTTAATTTTACATATTATATCATCTGATCTAAACCTTTCAAAGTACATAATATACTTATATTACGGATCACCACAATCAACTTACATACAGTATATTATCACACATATCAGTTTACTTAAGACATGTAAGATATATAAATAGATTTGAGAAAAAAATGTAAGTGTCTCATTATATATATACGAATGTTGAATGGGTGGGGTGAATATCTAGGTTGTTTACTGATATTTCTAAAAAGCGAGGGCGTGCCCGTCCAAAAGTTTTTCGGAACTAAAGTTTTTAAGAACGTTATCTATAAAGAGCGAGTTTAAAAAATAAAACTGTGAAAATCTAGCATTGCCCTGTATGTTACTCCTCCTGCGTGGAAAGAAACTACCTGATTGGTGACTCACCAGCATTTCTCACTTTAAATTCACATTTGTCAGTTTTCGTCCTCCGTCTGTGTTATGCATAAAACAAAAATTACGAGGAGTTTAATATTAGACATACTCGACACAATAAACATACTATAATAACCACAACCAACCAACTGCTCTCAAGTTAATAAATGTACACACAAAGACAGCAAATATGGTAAAGATATACATGATAGATAATCATGTTTTACCAGTTTAATGTGTGTACAACTATAAAAATCACAAGTCGTAAATGTAAAGTACACTATAAAACACCCTGCACAACCCAGTTACCAACAGGTCGGACATTTTCTTACAAGCCATTACGCTATACATGACCTAAGCATTAAATTTGAACAGTGGAAAACAACTGTCTTTTCAAAATTTTGCATAATGTATTTTACATCTATTAATTGTTGTTTTCATAGACGTTTTGAATTTCAAATTAAGAACGTCAAAAGGCGGCGAAATTATCATATCAAGTCAACTATACGCCTGTTTCAAGATGATTGAACACTATCTATATATCGAAATGTAAGAAGTAAACAAGGTTATCGGCAACATAGTTAACATAGAAAAATAAATGATTTCAAGACTTACAACACCACACACAAAAAAAAAAATAAAAAAAAAAAAAAAAAAAAAACAATCCCCCCCCCCCCCCCAAAAAAAACAAAACAAAAACAAACCCCCCTAAAAACCAAAAAAACGACATACTCATCGAACCTTTAAATAAACTTATTAGTAAAGATTATCTTACCAATGTTGTAATAAGATCTTGGAATATAGTTTACATTGGCACTAATATCGATTTTGTCATCAGCAAATTAAAACATACCTAAATTTGTATTCTTTTCAAACGGGATGTATAAAGACACACCCACGTTCATTTTGATCTATAAAGAGGTTAAACTCCTAACTATCCTTCTGTCTGTCGATACATTTATTTTTGGCATTGCACAAGTCATGTCTTCTTTGACTGTCCATGACGTTAAAATACTAAATCCCTGGGATGTGTTTTAGTTGATTTTAGTCTCCGATGCATGATTTTTTATTATTAATTGTTTTAGCTTTTAACTAGCTGTCAGTAACTGCGAGTACTTTCTTGTTTATTTGACCTGTTGATACTAATTGTAATGCTTTTTTGTTCGTGATTTAATGTTATTCAGGGTTATATCTGGTCTATATACCAGCTTTGATAAGTGTTTGGTACTACTATAAATTTTCACTTCGTACTATGAACATCAAAATTATTTATTTTGTAAAAATATTTCCTTTCTCTATTGGAACTGTACACGTATACCTAACAACAAAATTATTTTCATTTACCTGTGTTTAAAATTATTGCAAATGGCTGATATTTTTGTTCGAGCATATTGTTTTTCTTAAATTGTCTAACATTTCATACCGATATAACATGTTACTTTTATTATTCTTCCCTTAGTTTATTTATTTTGTATTTACATTGTATCATAGGTCAAATTTATTTGTTCAGTGTATGTTCACTGGTGTTAATATGTCCTTTGATTGAGTTAAGCTATTTCAGTTGATATTTTACAGTGTGTCTTTCTATGTTGTGATGTTACACTATTGTTTCAGAAAAAGGGTGAAGGTTTGGTACCATTAAAACGTTTAAACCCGCTGCATTTGTTTGCACCTGTCCTAAGTCAGGAATCTGATGTTCAGTAGTTCAGTAGTTGTCGTTTGTTGATGTGGTTCATAAGTGTTTCTCGTTTTTTATATAGATTAGACCGTTGGTTTTCCCGTTTGAATGGTTTTACACTAATAATTTTTGGGGCCCTTTATAGCTTACTGTTCGGTGTGAGCCAAGGCTCCGTGTTGAAGACCGTATTTTGACCTATAATGGTTTACTTTTATAAGTTTTGACTTGGATGGAGAGTTGTCTCATTGGCACTCATACCACATCTTCTTATATCTATAGGATAAAATACCATCTACAAAACAAAGGTTTATAGTGAAAGAACCTTCTGAGCACATATTTACATGTATCTACATATTTTTAGGATGTTGTTCTAATTCTTTCCATAGTAATGTTAAATCATTAAATGTGATATTCCTCTAAACATGTTAACGTTAGAACACAGGAAACTTGAAATTTAATATAGATATACGCCAAACATGACATATGACTAAACGTGTTAAAGTTGAGAACACAAACACAATTGGAAGTTGAGTGGCGTGTATCAAATAATGCATTAGAAAAACTATAAATTCCAGGATGCAAAAAAACAGCAAGAACATGATAAGCGGGGTGAATTCAGTAAATAAATATACGTCATAAGGAACCGCCCATTTGAGGAGAGTTTTCCAGATTACACTGAAATCCTGTGCTCCACTGATTGATAGATGATATTTGTAATAATTATTTTTGATTAGATGAATCAATTCAAGGTTTTAAAAAAATAAGAAAAAAAGAATGCTATACCCCATTTCCTTTGTTTTTCTTTTAAAGGAAATTATGCACTCTGTCACATTGCTTATCAAGGCCACATAATAACCACAAAGCTCCATCCCTGTTACATCTAATATTAATTAATGCAATGGAAGCATTTGGGAAAGTTAATGTTCTTTTTCATGCAAAATTCTATGTTTAACTGCGAATGACAAGGACGTACTGAGTTTCCCAGGGGAAGAAGCACGTGGTATATAGGCAAAAATCAGTTTTGTGTTCAGATTGAAAAAAAAAAACAATAGAAATACTTGTTAGAGTTATACATTTAATGAAAGCAGTAAATATTCTTTTTAAATGCAAAGTTTGGTCATACCGAGTCTTATTATTAGTTTTTGGCACATTCTTCGACCTCAGATTTGGCTGCCCAGTTTTAGCGAAGAAACCACCCTGATGTTGGGTGTCTGCAGAGTGTATGCCGTTGACAATTTTCAAACTTTATAAATAATCTAAACACAGATTTAGTAAAATTAAACATGATTGTTGTTTTTTAATGAAAATGCCTTTCATAGGCCTTATTGGGGTATTTTCAGCGCATATCATAAAAAATGGTTCACCTAAAAAATCCATATAAGGCGAAATTTGATTAAAAATATAGCACGACTTATTTTATGATGTACTTGCAATGTTGATCAGAGCAAACAGAGAAAGCAAATCATATTTACTGAGTATATTATCATACATCATTCTTTGAAAAAACAGTCAATGTGCAACTTATATCAAAAATACGCATTGACCGCAGTATCGGCTTTAGTAAAAAAATTTACACTTAGTTTACAAATTCAGCATTTATGAATATTGTATTGAAACTGAAACTTGAAAATTGGTTAAAATTACATGAAATGAGGAAAACATGTCTCTAAGTAAAGATTCAAAAGCGACAACGGAAACGTACGATGACATCAGAATTATGTAATTCTTCATTGTTCATTAAATCAGTTCAAGGCGTATCATCACATGATATATGTTACAAATGTATATGCCAAAGCAAGCTAAACATGTTTTGTATGAGATACTTATGGAGGATAAACATGTTTGTGATAGGAACATGGTGGAAGGTAATACTGTTTTTGATAGGAACAATTGAAGGTTGGACGTATTCTAGAGGGTTAGACATGTTCTAAACGAGCAGTATTCAAATAAACATTTAATAAATTAATAGATTTACTAGGACATAGTTATGATTAAATATGTGGTTGAGTGAGAACAACATCGGTGTTGAATATCATGCTTATTCTCTAAACGCCATTTTTATCGAGAAAATAGAAAATTAAAGACTGAGCAACCCGAACCCAACGAAAACTTTGAGTGCTCGCAGGTGAACCGGAAGGGTACGCATAAAAAAGTATCCTGATAAACATATGTCACCTGTTAGGTTGCTTATACAATGTAGTTCAAATCTGGTTTTTTCACTATCGATGACAGGAGGACGGAATTATGGTAACTGGGACTATGCGCGACATAGTTATGGTCACATATGACACAGATACTGTTGTTGGCATGATACGTGTTATGTTCTTCTCATATATTTTATGATGGTATGATACTAAACCCCTAACGGGGGGAACTGTTCTTGATTTTCATATGATGAAGACATAATCTTTCAATCAGTTTACTTGTGGTCTGGAGCTGGCATGTCAGTAACCGCTAGTAGTCCTTTGTTAATTTATGTATGACATATTGTTTACTAGTTTCTTTTGTTACGTATTCACACATCGGACTCGGACTTCTTTTAAACTGAGTTTAACTGTGCGTATTGCTGTGTGTTTGTTTATTCTACATTGGCTAGAGGTATAGAGGGGAGGGTTTTGATTTTAAAAAAAACCTGTTTAACCCCGCCACATTTTTGCGCCTGTTCCAAGTCAGGAGCCTCTGGCCTTTGGTAGTCTTTGGTTTGTTTTTTAAATTTTTGTTCATTTATATGTTTAGGAGTTTAGTGTGCGTCCATTTTCACTAGTACACATTTTTGTTTAGGGGTCAGCTGAAGCCCGCCTCCGGATGCGGGATTTTCCCGCTGTGTTGAAGACCAATTGGTGGCCTTTGGCTTTTTTCTGCTTTGGTCGGGTTGTTGTTTCTTTGGCACATTCCCCATTTCCATTCTCAATTTTATTTATAATATTTTAAAGTGAACCTTTCAAACTTACAAAAAAGGCTATATAAATAATAACATTTATAGATAGAAATATAATTCATGAATGTTTCTGCTTTTATACTGAATGTGATATTTTTTTGTTATTTAACAATCAACATTCATGTTTGATTTCTTAAAACCAATCCAATCCAAAGACAGATTGATAGTAACAAGGACAAGGACAAGGTTATACATTCTGATAAGGTCAAACTATCAGCGGATATAGAATGATTGAATTGTAACAACAAATATTTCCTCAATATCTAAATAAAAAATAGATTTTGAATTAAATGAATGTTGCAAAAACCATGTTTTTGATAATTGTCGTAGAGGTTTCTTGCCTTATTTTGACAGCTTACTGCGATGACAGACAGAATGGGATATGCACCAATAACACAAGGTAATATGCATGTTTATATAACCTAATCAATCTGATATGTTTTCATTATATAGACAGAATAAAATTGTCACTCGACAAGTTGTAACTTTATTACTGATTATACTCGCCATATTGGTTCCGTATGTTGAAACTGAACTTCTTTTACTTTTGTCAAACTAAATTACAGTAAAACACGTTCAATTATGTCATAAAATTGAATAAATGCAAAAATGATATAAATATAACATGGAGTTTGGCAATACAAAAAAGTTGCTTCAAATAAAACTTATCTATTGAGATATGTACGCCAGATCTAGGGCAATTTTGGAAACTATTGGCACTATATTTTGTTATCAATATTCAACTAATTCGAATGTACAAAACCCAACAGAAAAGTATATGGAAAATAAAACTACTTATTAGTAATACATGATTGTATTACCTTCCTTATACATTTTTTGAACATTAATATTCAATTTGGTTCTTCGATTCCTTTGGAGCCAAGTGTGAAGCGATTATTAGGTTTTACAACCATGTGCACTGGGTCGATGCCACTGCTCTCATCTGCGAATGTATAACAAATCCAGATTTTGATAGAATGTTAAGTTATTCGAAAGAATTTCTCTCTAAGGTATGTTATTGGAGGTTACCCTACTAGTTTATCATATGTTTTGAATAACTCTTACAATTTACAATTAAACTTGATTTAATACAAATGGGAGAACACGTTTTTTTTAGCCGTCTTGGTCTTGAAATTTATGTATTGCGTTTCTAATACATGGTAAGAAAATACAAAACTTGCACTAATCAAACTTATACAATGAAAGACATGTTATAGGACAAGAAGATGACATATATTTACTGCCATAATAACTATACGTTTTCAAATAAAACATTGGACCTTAAAGATGCTCATCTATGGAAAGGGCGTTTTCGCGGATAAACAAAGAAATTGATGGCATTGTTAATGTTCGCAAATGGTTCTTGTTTTATATTACTCGATGAATAGCATGAAGATTTAAATATATATCTGAACTAAAACATATAATAAAACAAATTGAATGGTACTAATCAGAATGTATTTTTAATATATAGTTTTTCCAAGAATAGAAAATATTTAACATTGACAAGGAAAAGTTCGACTTTTCAGTAGAAACTGAACTGTACGAAAATTCAATGTAATATGAATTTGAAACGCACCCAACTGTACTATTTGTTTCGGAGTTTTAAGGAACGTAAACATTATGAAGAAAATAAAAGACATATATATGCTATGTCAAAAAAGACAAATTTATGAGTTGGGGAAATCTCAAAATTTGGACGATAACGCGCAAATAAACGTATTGAAGGTAGGGGAATGGTCATTTACACCAATGCCAAATTGTTTAGAAATTTTCAGGTTTTCAGTGCACTGACATCCCTTTTATCCTCTTTAAAAATGTTACCGTCTAGACAGCTTTCATATTTTGTTTGATATTTTTTCAAAGGAAATTTCAGTTTCACATTTATACATTTTCTGAACTTGCAAATGCAGTCTTTAACTGTATTGGCATACTTAATGCCAAGTTATGGGTACACAATATATATATATATATTACTTAAAATAAAAAACCAACAAAAGATAAATCGGAAGTTGTAAAAGATGTGTTAAAATTGCTCTTCATATTAGACAAAGAGTTAGCCCTTCTAATTGTTAAATTCATCTTTGAATAGTTACAATTGACATTTTTTTATTTTAAGTATGTGTGAACTTGAAATATTGTTTCAAACATTATTAAATGCCGATTCTTAACCGGTTTATCTCAAGTTGTTATGTGTAACACATTATAGGTTAGACTTTGTAAATACAGCTGTTTCTCAAACCACGGCTCTTTTGGGGAGATATATAATATTCATAGATATTTCGTTTTGTTTACGTACTGGTTCCCAGATATGATCTCTATGTTTCATCTCATAGAGACATAACTAGGGAATGTTACCAGTATAAAAACATGGTTGCGGTGAAAATTGAATTCTGAAGTAGGCCCAAAGTAAGGTAGGGTGGTACAGAATTTTAGTATAAGTTTAAACTCTAACAAGTTCGGGGCATATAAATGTTGCAAATATGCCGCACAGCCCTATGTTTTGACCTTTATATAAAATAGTAGTGCATATCAACTTTCCATTCTAGGATATCATTTTTTACAAAACTGCATAGTAAAAGTGGCACAGTTTTAGCCGCAAAGGGAGTTCCTATAGGAAATTGCATTGTCTATATTTACAGAAATGCAGCCTATAACTGTAATAAAGTTTATCTGTATCTCAATTTTCAGAATTGTCAGATCTTAGTTTTCACAAATATGGCAATATCATACCATGTATGATCAAAAGGATTTTCTTATCCCAGGCATAGATTACCTTAGCCGTATTTGGCACAATTTTTTGGAATTTTGGGTCCTCAATGCTCTACAACTTTATACTTGTTTGGCTTTCTAACTTTTTTTATCTGAGCCTGGTACCTTTGATAACTATTTACACCACTGGGTCGATGCCACTTGTGGTGGACGTTTCGTCCCCGAGAGTATCACCAGTCCAGTAGTCAGCACTTCGGTGTTGACATGAATATCAATTATATGGTCATTTTTATAAATTTACTGTTTGCAAAAGTATGTATTATTCGAAATACTAAGGATTTTCTTATCCCAATCATAGATTACCTTAGCCGTATTTGGCACAACTTTATAGAATTTTGGGTCCTCAATGCTCTTCAACTTTATATAGTTTGGCTTTCTAACCTTTTTTATCTGAGCGTCACTGATGAGTCTTATGTAGACGAAACGCGCGTCTGGCGTATCAAATTATAAGCCTGGTACCTCAGCATAAATCCCGAATGTTTTCTATCTCTTTCGACTGCATTCACATTTTATCATTAAGGGACATTTTAATGTTTACTATACAGGACGGAATGGCTAATTATTGAAAGCATACTCTGACCTGTGGGCTTTCACATCCTTGTTCGTAAGTCTCTTATAGTATACTGTGAAAAGTAATAATGCTTTCTTTCTATTTTTTGTTTGTTTTTATATTTTGTAGATACCTATACTGTGACCTCTATATGAAAAAACACGAAGTACCTTTATTTTTCCTTCTCCAGAAGTCTATTTTCATGTAACTTCAAATGACCATTTTGTGTTTAATCTTCGACATTTAGTATTATACTTACAGGAGAGTTTGCTGCGCCCATTTCGAATTAAAGGATCAAACTTGCACAAGTATGTATTTTTGAAAAGAAGGGTTACCAATCAGTATATCAAAAGATATCAACAATGAGAACTGTTATTGCTGAAGATTATAGCAAGTTAAGCATTATTCTGCAGGAACCATAAATTTGTTACATTATATTGTTTTAACGAAACCAGGAATACGAAACAAAATGTTAAAATATTATTTTGAAAGTATTGAAATCTAATATGTCAAGGATGACAAACTTGTTTCATCTATAAACAGTCAGGGGCATTACTTAAACAAGTAAAATTGAGAATGGAAATGGGGAATGTGTCAAAGAGACAACAACCCGACCAAAGAGCAGACAACAGCCGAAGGCCGACAATGGGTCTTCAATGCAGCGAGAAACTCCCGCACCCGGAGGCGTCCTTCAGCTGGCACCTTAACAAATATGTATACTAGTTCAGTGATAATGGACGTCATACTAAACTCCAAATTATACACAAGAAACTAAAATAAAAAATGATACAAGACTAACAAAGGCCAGAGGCTCCTGACTTGGGACAGGCGCAAAAATGCGGCGGGGTTAAACATGTTTTTTGAGATCTCAACCCTCCCCCTATACCTCTAGCCAATGTAGAAAAAACAAACGTACAACAGTACGCACCGTAAAACTCAGTTTAAGAGAAGTCCGAGTCCGATGTCAAAATAGGAAACGAAAGAAAATAAACAAAATGACAATAATACATAAATAACAACAGACTACTAGCAGTTACTGACATGCCAGCTCCAGACCTCAATTAAACTGATTGAAAGATTATGTCTTCATCATATGAACTTGTTTTAGTTACTTGTATAGGTGATTTTTTTTTTTAAATTATTAAATTACTCATTGGAGTTATTTTAATTTACAATAGAAGCATGGACTTAATGTAGTTTTAATGAATTTTTACATCATTTTATTACATGAAATTAAGAATTTATCAAATTTGAGAGAATTATAAAGATTATGAGTTATTTAAAAAATAATGACAAAAATTTTTCTTGTATAAGTTATATCATACATCTTTGAAATAATTAATGATTTCAATTGTTCAAGGAACATAATTATGTTATTGTTTTGGGTTGCAAATTATAAATAACTTCAAGCTTGATTAAATCACAAGTTTCCATCTAATTATCTCTGTCTACCTTCAAAATTTTCAAGGAAAATGATATTTTAATAGTCCCAATAAACCAATCTCTGACCCATAAGCTTCGATATGAAATGTAAGTGCGTCAGAAAGGTAATTAGTGTTTCAGGAGGATTAATTTCTATATTTTATGGGAAAAATAACAAGATGTCTGTGAAAATGTTTTAAAGCTAGTAAAATCTGTATGAATGGACACCTATAAATTTTTTTTTACAAAAGTTACTTATATAAGTAATTTTAAAATAGCCGTGTTTTCAGCATTACTTGTATAGGTAATTTTGAAAGTTACTTGTTTAAGTAATGCCCTTGACTGATAAAAGAATATTACGTTACATGAAACTTTCATAAAATTTAAATGTGCTTGGGAAATTAGTATTCATGTATTATTAGACTTATCATTCGGTTTGTACTAATATGAGCAACACGACAGGTGCCAATAGTTGATCAAGTTTTACTGACCCTTCTGGACCATACGAGTAAGATGATATGAAAATATCCCCTCCTCCTCCTCCTCCAAAAAACAAATCCAATGAAAATGCACAACAAAGCGAGCAAGTCCTTTTCTCTTAATTTTTGTCGCCAAACCTGGAGTTTGTGTGAAAATTGTCAATAAAGTCTCCTCACTGGGTATCCTCTCATATAGGTTTAGCATTAACACGAGAACCGGTAGTTTCTCTACTACTTTTGTCCATCCATAAGCTATCATTAATTTGACAGATTTGTTGCCAGTATAAATGAAATTTTCTAAAACGTAGTTTCATTCATAATCTTGGTTTATGTTTTTTATCACTTTTCCCATGTGTAAGTTTTCAATACGCACAATATAACCCTGACACATATTTTGTTAACGCTATCGGACATGTGTTGTAAAAAGAAAACAATGTCACAGTGAATTTGTGTAGGGGGTCGAGAAGGGTTTGACTTACTCTGTAATTATGAAGTAATCGTTTGAAATTGTGAAAACTGATAAAATTAGTATTCTAAAGTACTTTGGAAACATCTACAATATACAAAACCAACCCTTCACTGTTTTAAAATAGCTACAAAATGACATGCCTGGTGGTCACTGAAATTAACGAAAGAAAAGAAAAACTTACTGGCTTCATAATTATGTAGAAATTAAAGATGGGTTACTAGGTTTCATTAAAGATTTTTAACGTTCTTTTCATTTATTTCGATACACAATCGTTAAGTTATTGAAATCCGAGGTTTTTTGGCAAACCAAAAAAATGCTGATAATTCATAATGCAAATGAAAAGCTTTTTCAAATTTTGTGCAATGCAATAAGGGACTGCGTGTTATGGTTGTACCAGTAACGAGCAAATTAGACCAACACAAAAGATCTAGGAAAGGATGTCACGATAAATTCAACACATCGTATATCATGTATCATATTTATCCGTTACCATACATGTACCCCTATTTTTGACATTTTTACCTACAATGTATTATGTCTGTTTGATTTGTTCACACATTGTTCATATATAATGGAATTTTATGCGACTGTCATACAAGTGAGAGGTTAAGCTAGCAGTATAAAACCAGGTTCAATCCACCATTTTCTACTTAAGAAGCAAGTTAGGAATATGACAGTTGTTATGCATTGGTTTGATGTGTTTGAGCTTTTGATTTTGCCATTTGATTAGAGATTTTCCGTTTAGAATTCTCCTCGGAGTTCGGTATTTTTGTTATTTTACTTTTTACGTACACACACAATCTTTAAACATCAACTGTTATACCTGTTAACCGGTTACATTTATAATCAGTCGAACAAATATCCGACTAACCGTTTAGGTGACATTTTTAAATTGACATTTACAATATATTAATACTATTTTCGACACTATACACAACTATTCATGTGCAAAGGAATCGGCCACATCTTGTCATTGAACAGCACCTTTTCTATAAAATTGTGAGTCGTAAATACAAGTGTCTCGTCTAAGGTCGCAAATAATTTTACTTTCTGAAGAACCCTACATATTCCAACAAAATATACATCGCAGGCGATATCTTCACAACGCTGGTCATATTGATTGACAACATGTTTATCTAAGTGTAAGATAAAAAAACACAGTTGGTATTCAAGTAAGGGTACATATTTCGAATGGAGCAAAATTCAAACAAAAAGAAAAAGAAAAAGCATCTTTTAACCCTTTATAGAATTTTTGCGTCTTTTTATCAACCTACATCAAGAATGCTCAAACCTAAAATTTGAAAGGCAATGATATATAAATATGTGACTAAGAGATATATGACCTAAAGAGGCATATTCAGAATCTTCAATCTGCCTGAGACAAAACGGATGCACAAAATAACGATGAGTTTCTTTTGCCTATTATCATAATCATGATTATGAATTCAGATATTTTTTTTCCCACGTTTTCGGGCATTATGTTATTTAGTATCTATCTATCTGTCTGTCAGTCTGTCCGTTTACAGTTATGATTCGAAATTGAAAATATCATATTTTCTCATGTGTTATAATTCAAAATAGTCAAACAGATTTAATTGTGATTTCATTCCACTTTCGTGTGTCAGTCTGCTGTTGCTCTATTAATTTTATTATTTAATTTCGATATTTAAAAAACAAACAAAAATGAGATCACATACTCATAAAATTTTAAGCATTCATGTTTTAAAATTGTTCATATAAACATGATAAGAGAAGAAACAACTATGCAAAAGTATTCATAAAAGACATAATACATATGCTATTTTGTAATGTTTTGTTTGTATGTATATTACAAGCGGAACACCCTCAAAGACAATCTTAGCGTAGACCTACACTCTCTTATCCACGGAACTAATTTATTTAGTTATGAAAGTTATATCGATTTGAAAATTTCCTACCAAATTATATCCAATAGTAATTTGCTTTAAAAAACTTCCTTATCTTGAACGACCATAAGTAACAACACAGTAAGAAAGGTTTTATTAAACACAAACGGATGTATCCTTGAACCTTCGGATTTCTTAATTTCATTGACGATCTTCATGTTAAAAAATACTATGAATATCTAGGATTTTCGATAGCTTTTTTTATTAAGTACGGGTCAAGTCCCTTTCTTCGTTCAATGCTTTGCGTGATCAGGATTCTCTCAACATCGAACGTAAACGAGATTAAATTTGTTTTTTTATTCTCTAGAAATGAAGTAAGTGTTTTGCTAATCACTTTTAATTTTGTTTTAAAGAATGTAAAAAAGGTTACTACAATTTAAAAATCAATTCAACATGTAAACCGTGTACACGTGGCAAGTACGACACAAAGTGTACGAAGACATGCTCATGTAACAGCAATGAAAGGTAGGTATCGTTATATTTTGAGCACACATACATTTTGCACTTAGTTCTCTTTTAATTTGTTACCTTAATCTGTTTCTTAATGTTTAATCTTGCTTATTTAATAAATTTTTAAACCAATGTTCAAAATAAAATTAGGACGATCAAACGTTTCGATGCCTTCAGATTTCTTCTAGATCCAATTGCCATGGAATCGTTATTATTATTGAAAAATGTTGACGTGTTCTCTATTTGTTCCTGATTTATATGAGTTCAAACCGAAGACTTTGACAAAAATTGGTATTCTTCGATTCTCCGCCAATTACGTAACAAAAAAATGGGGTACTAGCAAAACGAGGTCGGCTCGAAATAATTATTCATTCAAGATGCAAGACTGATAAATTGGTTCACCTAACGCAAGTTTTGTCGGTATAAGAATAATCAAAAGCGCTCGAAAAAAAAACGGTTGAAAAACAAATAAATACCGATGTTAAAAAGTATTCAGAAAACAATAAAAGGTTGTGCCAAATTTGAATCAGTCGTCCTGCAGATATGCAGATACATGTAATGTCCTTGTGAAATAGCACACTAACGTCCGGCACAGTGTGTTTGTTTAGTTAAAACATAATTCGTATTCGTATTATTATTATTATATAATTGTTTATACTTCATGTGATATTTACCTTGTTAATGAAAGAAAACTCTATTCAAAACATGTTCCATTAAAGTGTATTGATAAATTGAAAAATGTGTTTCATAATATGTTGTCCTGTTGCTCTGAGCTCTACATACGTCTGTAGAATGTCATTATTGAAGTATTCAATAGAAAAACAAAGAATATGGGATATCAATCCATGACACAAAATCAGGACATGCACAGCAAATAGACTCGTACATCTAACTAAATCATAATGTAACTACTACAGAAGATAAACCTTTACTGAAACATGTTGTTTGCTTCTATCAATTATAGGTGCCATCATGTAACAGGATGCATTCTTGATCATCTGACAACCACTGGTGAGTGATATGTACATTCAGGCAAGCAAAGAAAAAACACAAATAGGATGTAGTTTAATATTACCCGGAAACTAGTTTTATTGCCAAACTGTTTGTTATCTTCGTATTGCACTTTGAATGTTCTAAACAACACTGCCATCTTTTTGGAATAGCTGATGCCAGATCTAGTTAAGTGTTCATTATCCATAGTCTTTGCGATGGTTGTTCATCTAGTTGGGTTGTATTTAAGTACCGTTTAGTGCTATTTGTCTTGTTTGTACACAAGATCTGTATCTTGATTTCACAATCCCTTTGAAAAACGTTGGAGGCGTTATGTGAAAGTTTAAAAAAAATCAGAAATACGAATGTGCGTAAACTAACTGATGCCATATTCAAGACGTATTCCAGTTCCATTAATAAGTAATATACTCACGAGCATTCTTCCCTGAGACAATGTGTCTAACACCTCTGTTTGTTTAATTTTTCAAACTATTAAATAAATCATTAAATTGAAGCGTCTTCATATAAATAATATTGTTTTAAATGTTTTTTCATCTTCTAGAAAATAAAGATGAGAGTAATATGAATTATAAAGGTACAGATACAAAATCTGGTAAGTATTAGTGTGTTTGTTTCTTTCTTCACAAATGTTTGGTGCATTGGTTAAATATCTCATGATAAAACTATCAAACACAAATATGTACATTATTGCTGTTCAACTTATCCAATGTATGGAAATAACCCTACTAATTTGTACTTGTTTTAAGTAAACAGATGTAGTTGTTTTAATAGCAATGAATGTGATTGTATTTTAAATTTTAAGTCCACAAACAAAACTACATATGTGTCTTCATAGAACATACATGAAACATATAAACTGTCGTGAATATACTATAATAGTAAAAACTCAAATTTATACTTTACTTAACATGTGAAGGAATTTTTCGCTTAAGCCGAGGAAATCACTGTTAATATAGCTACATTGTACATGTATTTGTTTTTCAAATTGTGTACCTATGACAGATAATGCTTCAAAGCCAACTATTGTGTAAATACTACTTAAAGTCATTACTATTCACAATAATAATTTCTCATTTAGATAATGGTAATGGCAATGTTGCTATCTACATGACATGTGTTGCAGTCGCCAGCATTCTAGTTGTTGTTTCTAGTCTCATTGTGAAGAACAGAAAGATAATTTGTAGACAAAAATCCCGAAACAATTCTCTTACAACCAATATTAAAAAAATAAAGCAACCTACCTTCCGTTTTGGACGAAATAAAAAGGTGGCAGAAAGCTTGTATGATGAAATAAATGAAAAATACATGATTAATTTCGATGGAGAATAATAATGATAGCTTATATGGAACTACTTGAACATTAACCTTTGGTAATATTTCGGTTTTAATTCATTGGCGTATTTCAGTTTTTGCTGTTCAAATATTGTATTTCAAAAGGTAAAATGAAAACAAAGTTATAGGTAAAAAGTCACTTAGGAATAGGATAGGCAGTGATGATTAAAAGACTTCTATTGCTTTTTTGTCTTCTTTTATTTTTGAATCAATTTTGTGCAAACAGTTTCGAAGCCCGTCATACCGGACTTCGTCATTTTTTTTAGACGAATGCTTTTTTGAGATTTGAACCCATAGTTAAAAAAACATACATAGTTTCTTTTTCCAGAAGTCAAATATGTTTTGTGATTTTGATAGTAGCAAAAGTTTTATTTTAATTTCGATACGAATAAATCAAATTCTTTTGTTTTTATTTCGATACGAATAAAGGGAGATGTATGGTATATATCAAATGAGAACGAAACCCTACGAAAAAAGTAAACAGTCAACAGACATCAAGAGGTCTTCAATAATGGACAGGCCGTACGGTGACCTCTAGTTGTAAATTTCTGTGTTATTTGTTCTCTTGTGGAGAGTTTTCTCTTTGGCATTCATACCACATCTTCTTATTTTTGTATGATGGGTTTGTCATCAGTTCACTCTGTTCAACGCATCAAATTCTTACTTTGAATATCGTGATCTTCAGATTACCGTGTCGACTAATTAAAGCAGGATTTTCTGGGTAGATTTCCAAGTTTATACCTTATTAATAATCCAGGGTATGTATCAGGTCGTGATATCTATTACTAAGAAATACAAATAAAAACATTCTGTTGGTAAAAGTTGCCATTTGAAACTTGATATTTCTCACTTCAAAATTCATATTTTTTCACCTTCGAGTCGACTTTTTTAGTTCCAAGTTGACATTTGTCAGTTCAGAGTTGACATTTCTCTCCTCCAATGTGACGCATATAACTTTCAAATTCAAATTTTGTCAGAAAAAAAAGCGCGAGACAAGGTGTGTCTCCTGTGTATTCATAACGCGTCATGCGAACATACACTCTGTAGTATACAATGTAACATGTATGATTTTAACACTTTTTTATGATATCAACACGCTCGACATAATCATGAGCAGTGCGACCCAATACTCTCTTGGTCTGATATTTTCTGATTTAAACAAGTAGTACAACATGTTTGATTTATACCTATAATGGTATGGCGATGTTTTCGTCAACCGAAGACAATTGATTTCCTGACAATTATTTTATTATAAGTGAATTGATCTGTATGAAATTGTACCACAAGGTTTCATTACATACAAAAAAGGTTGTGATTGAATTTTGGGGTTATTGTCTTAACTGTTTAGGAGTTAAGGGTCAAAAAGGGATCAAAAACAAGCATTTTTCTTGTTTTAAGACAAAAACTTGTGAATAAGTGTACCACAAGGTTCCATTCCTCAAAAGAAAGGTTGTGGTTGATTATGGGGGTTATGGCTCTAACTGTTTCGGAATAAGGGATCAAAAAGGGCCAAAAACAATACTTTTCTAATATTGTATAAACTGCTTATGTCTGGACCAATTTTAAAGGGGTTTTCAACAACGATTGTATTCTTTGGGTTCTTTGAAACACTTCATCTAACCGTGTATTTGTATTTCTGATTTTGGGGCCCTGCTTTCAAATTTGTCCATATTAAGGTCCAAAGGGTCCAAAATTAAACTTTGTTTGATTTCAACAAAAAATGTATAAATAGAGTTCTATGATATGCTGAATCATACTGTGTATTTAGGTTTTTGATTTTGGGCCACATTATCAAGATGGTCGATATTGAGGTCCAATGGGTCCAAAATTAGACTTTGTTTTATTTCATCAGAAAATGAATTCTTGGGGTTCTTTGATATGCTGAATCTAGCCATGGACTTTGGATATTGGACCGTAATGGGTTAATGTTCAATTTCAAATCTTTAAGTTCTTAGAAACATTGATTCTGTGTCAGAAACCTATCCTGTGTCAAATTTTCAATCACAATCCAAATTCAGAGCTAAGCTTGAATGTTGTGTCCATACTTGTCCCAACTAGTTAGGGATCGACCTGGGCGCCCTGTGAGTATTTTATTTTAATATATCAACACACTCGACATAATAATGAATACACGAAGTTCTTTGATAAAACGTACTTCTATGGACAAAAAATATAGTATTTCCTGAACAAATCAATTTTAATGCATACATGTGTGGACAAGAACATACAGATTTACATATTTTTTATAATTATTAATAACAAGTTGTTTTTATTATATACTAGTAGATGAAGTCATCTCTTGAAAAATTCAAAGATTTTCCTAATGGTTAAATTCAAGATCTATCTTGCAAATGTTTTACGGACCAATCATCATTCGGTTGACAGTTATTGAGTATGCGTGCTACAGATCACCAATGATTCGTTCTACTTATAACCACAATTTTAACCCCTCGTTTCTGACATCGCTGAATAAGACTCATAGTCGTCTTTTAACCAGCCATGAACATTGTCATCCTAAGTTTTGTTTACATTGGATTACTGATGCTTATAATTTGGTTATTAGTGTTCTATTTTGTGTCTTTTTTTTCTTTAATATTTATCGAATTTTACAAAGTAAAAGACATGTTTATCCTCTGTCCTAAAAATATGTTGACATTTCAAAATTCAATGTATTGTTAATGTTCAGAGTGAATAAATTAACATGAACCATTGTTTTGTGAATCTTCGCTAGCCAAGGGTTATCATCCAGTCCCCTCCTCTCCATCCTTAGCGGATACAGGTAGAATTTCGGATCCACGAGGTAATGATTTCCATTGGTCGCAGTTGTAACTGGCTGCATCCAATCAAAAAGCGCCTTTAAGGTGATCAAGTATAAATGTAGAATATGTGAATAAACAATTGCCTCGTGTTGATTGTGCAACAAGTATTTACCCCCAAAGCATATGACAATATGTAATGAAAATTTCAAAGTTCAAAATCAACTAATTGGAAGTTCCCGGGTATGTTTCTCGAGCAAATTTTGGAATGTAAACGTTTAATTTCGGTTCCTGCTTTGCGAAATTTGTAAACACTAGACACAACAATTTTAAACCTCCACACTGAAGAGAGTTCAAATGCTGCCATTGGTCAAGAATGATGTAGTCGGAATGGGCGTGACTTTTATTTACCGGGAGATGGCGCAGCATTGTAATCACAAATGTTGGCCTAATCTGCCAAGGGTAGAGAGGAGGGGACTGGATTGTAAACCTTGGCTAGCGAAGATGTGTTTTGTGATGATGTCTTCTTGTTAGACAAACACATTGACAAGTATGCATTTGTTCTTCCATTATCACATGGTATAACTCGTCATCAGCGAAACTAGTCCCTGGGCCGGACCATGACACTCTGACCCTTCCTGAGAACCCGTGTTCACCACCAGTTGTGGTGGAGTTGGTGTTACTCAACCCCCTTTTTCTACCACAGGTTTTTCGTAACTACACACTAGAGTACATATTACAACTTGGTGTTTTGCAACCGTCCTGCGCCAGGAAAACAATGTGTTAAAGTTCGTAATAAGGCCAGATGAAGGTGAATATAAAAACAAGTAAATGTGGTATGATTGCCAATGAGACAACTCTCCTCCAGAGACCAAATGACATAGAAATTAACAACTATAAGTCACCTTACGGCCTTCAACATTGAGTTAAATCCATACTGCATAAAGGGCCCTAAAATTACAAATGTAAAACAATTCAAACGAGAGAACGAACGGCCTGATTTATGTACAAAATAATGAACGAAAAGCAAATATGATAAACGGCACCAAACGACAGCCACTGATTGACAGGCTCTTGACTTGGGACAGGCACAAACAGAATATGGCGTGGTTAAACGAGTTTGTTGGCCAAACCCTCCCCCTTACCTGAGACAGTGGTGTAACGTCACAACATAAGAACAAACTATGCAAAACAATAAACGAAATATGAGAAACAGCAAAAAACGACAACCATCCAATTACTGGTTCTTGACTTGGGACGGGCACTTTTAGAAAGTGGAGGGGTTAAACTATTCATTAGGCGCCCCCTTTAACCTGGGACAGTGGTGTAGCAGTTCAACATAAGAACAAACAATAAAAATCAGTTGAAAAGACATTAGCTAATCAGATAAATTCAAAGCAGAAATCCATCTTACAAAAAACACAGAGTGGACGTTGCAAGGTACTTATACATCCCCACAACAAAAAAGACACCAAGTACAGATCTGAGGGTACTAGAAGTTCAGGACAGCTAGTTCAGAGCCAATAACAGCTAATAAAAAAATCATGCATCTAAGACTAAAATATCAATCAGTACACATCCAACATCCAATGGATTTAGTGTTAAGACGTCATTAACAGTCAGAGAAAAACCTCATTTGGTATTGGGTCAGTGATATTTGGTTAACATTTGTATTATCATCAGCAAATGCAATGTTCATGGAGATAACTTTGTTTTTTATATCTGTCATAGGCCATTTTGAAAAATTTGCATAGTTTACACGGAAAAATTTGTGATAAGGTAAATGAAGGGGAAACACATACTAAAGGCGTTTCAATACTGGGTATGTTAATGTAATTACGTTAGAACTTCTTTTTTTGTAATTTAACATTTAGTTACTTCTTTAAATGAAATACTTAAACATTTACATTCATATTCAAATAAAGGCGAGATATATTTCTGTGTCAACAATTTATTAACTCATTTGTTGTTCATGTGATACAATCATTTTGAATACTACACAAAAAAAAAAAGAAATTTGACGCATGTAATAACAGACAACAAAACCACTCAAATGCGATTCCTCTAAGAATATGCGACCACAAAATTCCCACATTGTAACTTTTGTAAAATGGCAGTTAGTGTACGGTATGGCGTGGTTTGGCGTGGAAATTTTAGCACAGCTAGGCCCCTCCAATTATACATCTTTACGATTTATCGGACAGATATTTACATATATATGGAAACATGTGAAACTATGACACGTTTTTTTTTTTTAATTTTCCATATCATCTTATGTTTTTATTCTTACTTTCACAATTATGTTTTTCTTTTGATATTGTTGGTGATTAATCCTATCGAATTTTTGGAAGATCAGGAGGTCTGCAGATTTCATTTTTGAATTTAAAAAAAAAGAGCTAGGGGTAATCAGAAACGAGACAAAAAACCC